CTGGTCCAGTTTATTGCCATTTTAAAAAATGAATTTTGACATCCTTAAAAAGAGCAATGCCACATACATGTACATACGTGTACATGTAGCACAGATTCACATTAGAAACTTTTTCTACGGGAAACCACTCTTTTTTTTTCTCGATTAAGTCCGTTTTCACAGCGTTACAAAAATAGTCCTTGTTATTATTTGATGAGGAAATTCCTTGAGAACATTGATATATGAAAACATCTGGATGTTTTGCAAGCTGTGTCCAGTTCTGTGGATACAATTGGGTCTGTTTAAACAAAGAATATAAACTTACTAATTGAAGAAGACCGGGTACATGGGTTTTGTTACATACATGTAGGGCCCTACATGTATGTGTTCCTACAAAAATGCTAGACACAGACGTACATGGACATGTCCACTGTACTATCAAAGTACCTCAGTAATGTTGAGATGGGTCATTCTATAAATTCGGGGTCCAAAAGTGTGACATTTTGTGTCCCTCTTACATATACATCTGGCCTTTGTTATTTGACATGGAAATATCACTAGAATTGATTTCAAACCACATGTATTACTCCTTGTGTGGCAGGTAATTTGCATTAAATCATCACTCTTGGAAATTAGAAAATGTGTTCTGAACTTGGAAGAATTCATACTTGTACATGTAAGATGTGACAGGGACACACAAAAAATTGGACCCCCAATTTATAGAATCACCCATGTACCAACACACCATGGGTTTCAGAAATGCTTTCAAGTGCCTTTTCAAAGAAGACTTTCAAGGACTGGTACATGTACATGTGCTCATACCACATGTATACATGTACATTGTATGTCACTGTTTATTTGCTGCTTGGTCTTCTGGCCTTGGCCGTCCTTCATTTGACTTTGTAGGGACTTTGTTCTGTGTGCATACTGGTATTATGTTCAACCAGACCCCACAAAGATAGTATCTTTATTCATGAGAAAACTGCAAAAATTCTTTATTTTGATACCATGTGTCAAGTACCGAGTTTGTCTTGACTCTGAATTGGTGAAAAAATGTGAATGGTTACTGTACAGATTTACTGCTGCTATGCAGTCAATCCCAGCTCATTTCATCAGGTTTCGTTGTTTATTTTTTAATCTGTTTTTTTTTAACCTGTGCGGCTGCAACTTTCTATTTCACTACAAGACAAATTTAAGGAATCTTACCATTGATAGAGATGGCTAAAGTTGGAATGCAAGCATGCTTCTGTTTGCAGTCATATTTATAAAATAAATCTCTGTACATGTAATGCCTCATTAAGCGTAGATCAAGTGCCTCAGCATCTAGATAACAAGATAGCAAGCTGACAGGCAGTGTGGCACTAGACAGTAATATCTGTGTGAATGGTGAATCATATGCAATGGAATGTTACGTTACCAACGTGTTCATGGACAAATTGTTGGGCTGTACATGAACATACATATTCAATATGATATGACGCTCATGTAAATTATACGTACTGCACATGCATGTACTGTGCCCTGTACATGTACCGATACGTGTACATGTACATGGACAACACTTAAAGCACGTCACTGCTGGCACCCTACATGTACGGTAGTTGTGGGGACTGCATGTACATCATGAACACATTTTAAATTTTGTAATCTGATGCGCAAGTACACGGACATGTACCGTGTATGCGTATTACTTATAAAAGCAATGATTTGTTAAAAGGCGAGAACGGATGATCACATGTGTGACATGTTGGGTGTAATAAGACAACCAGCGCAATCGACCCTGCATGAAATTTCCGACGCACATGTACCCCCGTAACTTCTCTCTTCCGGGACTGTCTTCCCCAACTGTGAATTGGAAAGCAAGTGTATTTTGTCTGATGGACAGTTTTCGGCTGGTCATACACCGTAGCGAGATCGAGTGATCGTGCAGAGGTTATCTACAATCGTGCAGATCAAAGTGATCGTTCCCAACCCAACAGTTTTACAGAGTGTATGTGCTGGCAGGCCCTCATCACATTTAGGGAACAATTTCTTCTGTTTGGGTAAATTAAGGCCAAGTTCGGGGTAGGGGGACATTTTTCTGCCCTCACAAAGTTTTTGATCCCCACAATATAGATGTAATGATGAGTGTTTATCCCTCCCAACCACAGCATACAGTAAGTACACGAACATACTTCCTATGTGTCATACATTCATATGAACATGAACCATTCTGGATGATGTTGATAACAAATTCATAATGCGTCATCTATTTGCATCATTTGTCATAATTAACCACTAAGCTCGGAGTGCCATACGCTCCATGGTCACATCAGCCATTCCTGCAGAGATGGAGTTTGCTGTACATGTTATGTGCATTATTTCAAGGACATACATGTACATGTACAGGTTGGTTGCCTGAAACCTGAAACCTACCGGCAAATAGAGCTTCCTTTTTTCTACATGGAATGTAACTTGATCTGCACACACTCTTGTGAGGGAGCCCTCTATAGACAGGATTTGTTCACTTGTATCCCATTATTAACAGTATGTACACCCATACTCATAGTGTGCACATGTACATGTAGATAAGCCTCACTAGTTCACTGAACTGAGCCTTACATGTATATTAACATCATGCAAACCAGACATAACTTCTCGTGCTGTGCCCCATGTAGCATTGTTCATTATCCCTTAAGCTTCGAGGACCCTCACTGAGGTTGAGATGACTGAAGCAGGAGTGATGTCTTCACTGAGAGTTTCTGCCCTCATTTCTTGATGATGCGTCGATAAATGGACTTTCCTTTGACACCCTGTGAATCACCAAGTGATGGTTCTATAAATAACACCCATGGTGCCATAACCCCCATTGCCGTACTAATTCGTGCATTGTACATTGACATATGACATTTTGTCCACGGAGCAATACACCATTGCAAGTAGATTTGCTTACAATGTCACATCATTTACGCAGTCTTACTCCGGTACAGTGTGTGATCTTCACAAGAATCTGTTTCTATCCAGCTTACAGAACCAAGCATAAACATGCACAGTACACATACTCTTGCCGCAAATGTTATTATTGCTTTGTGTATATTCAGCCGTAACCTACTATTATCGCTCAAAAGTTTGCAGCATGCAACACGCACAGGAAAGGAATGAGACATTATTTACATGTATACTTTGACAAAACAGTGGGGTTGTGACAAGACACAGATTGCTGAATTTATCAGGTGGTGAACTTGAATACCGTCATTTGACATTTTCAGTCTTGGTACTAATACCGTTCACAAACATGCAAGAACACTCATGTATACTGCGGACTCCTTTGTCGTGGGAATGACACATGTGTTGAATAATACCGTACATGTACATGTAGTTACAATGTACTATGGTGACAAACTCGTTATGAGTTTTGTTCCCATAACTTAGGCCCCAATTTCTCCCCCCAAAAATTGTTTTATCAACACAGCTGGCCAGGGCACAAAGTTTGCGCTGTAGACTCTATGAGGCCGGTTCTGTTCCTGCGAAGAGGCACGATGTATACCAATAATTATTCCCCAAGTTGCATTTCTGTTTTTAATTAAGTTTCAAGAGGAAAAACTTGAATTTTTTACCGCCATGATACACGGAAGCTTAACACGCAAGAAGCGCACCACACACCGTCGTACTGTACATGTACACAGCTGCACCAGGCAAAATGACACTAGACCTGTAATCCCCATATCTACTGGTACCATAACCTACAGGCCTATGCCCTGATCCCCCCAGAGATTTATAATCTCAGTCACCCCTTCCCTACGGTAGTGGTGTCTTACATTACGGTACATGGTGTGAAAGGGGTCATCATCATCCTCAGTGAATCACAAGCCTAAATGTACCCGGAATACTCCTCTTTAAAACTGTTTAAAGTGTTGATGCCTGCAGTGTGTTGGCATCTAGACTGTAAGTTATGTACATGTACATGTAAGCGCACACTAGCACTTAACTCATCCTTGCCCGTGGTCTGGTACATTTATTGCAGTGTCTGTCCTTGTACAGTGTACATGTAGGTGCAGGTACCAGACCAAGGTTTCACATTGAAGGTCAAAATGTCACGAGACCTTTTTTTTTTACCACTATGGGAAACTTGGGTTGGTCTTGAGGTGTTACTGGGACTTTCCATTCATGAGTGCAGCTTCTGTTGCCCTGTTCATGTTATATTAATATTTAATGTAAGAATTAAGAGAGCTTGTCAAGGGAAGCGACGTCTCCTGGAACCTCCAAGACTCAACTGCAATCTGTCGTGCCAGTTGTCCAGTTTAACCAAACAATTAGATTTCTATCAAAATCAAAAAGTGTGGTTATGGGCTGCCACAGGCTGTCTTAAATTTTCCTTTACGTAGTTTATGTGTGGAGTATACAAATGTCCGTTAACCAAATTAATCATCTCTCTGACGTTTGCCTGTACCGCCATGGAAGATTTTTTTCTAAATTGGACAAGTTTCGTAGAGGGAGTTCTTAACGTGATGCTGGCCCTGCATGTGGACACCCTCCCTACTGAAAGTTGACCGAGTTTTATTGCACAAAGATACCATGAAATTTAGTACTTTTTTTGTTGTCTGGTGTGGAAAATTCTGCATTGATTGTAATGTGCATTGTTTAAGGTGGCCGTGAATATGTACACACTATTGAAATTTTGCACGGTTTGAATCTACATGTACTGTACGCAGTAAACATCTGATTAAATCTTAGGAATTCACACACGTACTTGTGGTAATGGGAAAGAGTAAATTCATGAAAACATTATTTTAAAATGGCCTTAGCATATATTAGAATTTTATCTACATCTGTGCCCCAAAGGTGCGGTTATATTTTCTAAAGTTTGTAGGATTACTTGTACCGGTACATACATGTACACAAGTTCATGTACATATCATGCATTATTTATGAGAATTTGATAATGTGGTAAGCCACAACTCATGAATAGTCATTAGCCTCCAAGGTGGACATTCTGGGGTCACAGGAAACCACCCAAAAGCTGGTGGAGCCACTGTTGGCTGAAGGTGACCCCATGTTTTCACCCTGACATCATCACCTGTGTTGTCTGCCTTCCATCCTGCCTTCTGGCACCCTTACCTAGCCCTGGTATTTTGTCTACGGCTCTGTTGGTGGTGGTGGCGGTGTGCGGTAGTCACAGTGGTTGTGGTAGCTGCTCCTGAATGACTCCCTGAGTGTTTGAAGTCGGTGGCCTAGAAAATGAAATTCCCGAATTCTCGGAGCGCATACATGAGTGGCGACATTGTGAAGGGGAGGCATGTATTCAGCTGAGATCACTCAGCTGGTCTGTTGGATGGCATTGAAAGAGGATCTGTGGTGTGCTTCGCTTGCCTTCACCCTGAGTCCGCATTATAAGAAAGAACCAGCAAACAAATTCAATTTGTCCAGCTTTGTTATTTAATCCCTTGCCCTGCTGGTTGTGGCCTGCATACATGTAGATGAATACTTATGCATGCTTGTCAGTGTGCAAGAGATAAGGTCGTAATTGTAGGACTTTTCACCGTGGTGGTGGTCGTGCACAGGAGTTGGCCACTCTTCAGTCGGGTTTGTTTCTTCAAGTTGTTGAAAACATTGTGCGCAGGCACAAGCACCCTAACGTAAAGTACAGGTGTTGCCAGCATGAGTAGCAGCAGGCACTCACTGAACAAGTTGCCAGCTGTATGCAGAGGATTTCGTTGAGCCGCCGCCCCACCTGTTTTCATGTGCGTGTATTCCCCCCAAATCTGGACTCCCTTTTATGTCAGTGTGGCATCGGTCTTGTGCTGCTGAGTCGAGAATCCGGACAAGCAGAAAGGTGCCCTGGATGAGGGGGAGATGTTTCTCACTTCTTTGTGTTAAGAGGCTTGACTTGAGGGGTGAATAGAGCTTGTGAAAGGGAGAGTTCTCCTCATTCAGATATTCCAAGAATCGGGTCTCAGCACGTGATGCATCAATTGCCTTGGACATAAACACGCCGGACGAACAGGACCGGAGAGGGAGGTACACCCAGTCACTTGCTCCCTTCATGCAAGAAGCCTTTCATTTGAGGAACGATTCGACCAAGATTGTCAAGAGACACTGTGTGTTGTTCTCCTGTCTACAACCAGCCAGTACACGTTTGATGTATTTGTATGAGGCCTGTCTAGCCACCAGTATGTAATTCAGTCATGGATGGAATTCAGTCATCTACAGGTCATGTATACAAGTACACATTTTCTCCTTTTAGACTCAGATCATGGAGCTGTTAAACAGATCCACCTGTGGATATACAAGTAGAGAACACCTGTGCATCATATAGAAGGACCACAGTGACAGAGAGAGGACTACATGTATGGTACATGCGTATATGTACATGTACATGGTTATGAGCTCACTGTTTAAAGTACAGTACAGTAAGGTGGTTCTCCGTGAACATATACAGTACATGTACTGCCAGCTTTGTGTCACAAGGGCAGTGAAAAGTTTCATTACTACGGGCCTGCTTATCCTCAGCAAACAGGGCGCACAAAAAACCTCAGGAATTCCTGCAGCATTGTTGTGGGGAGTCGCCATCCCTTCCCCCAAAACACAGCGGGCGATACCCCTTTGCCCTTCACCCATGAGGAAACTCCTCCGTCTGCATGACTCACTCCAGGGTAATGCCGCCATGAAGTGCTGCCTCTGTTCTTGTTCCACCAGCCCCCTTGACCTCGGGCCAGGGAAGAAAACTTCATTTTTCTTTGCTCGTAAGTTTCACTCTCTGCAGCCGCTGCTCTGCTGCAGAGAAAATGTACACAGTTATGCATCACTTTTCGTTGTACCTTTATTTACATGGGGATGTGCAGTAGTTCCTGTGTGCATGTCTGTCTGCCGTCGTCGGCAGTATCAGAAGGACGTTTGTTTTCTTTGCAACAGAAGATTGTTGAGGTTATTAAGAATCATTTCTATCTTTCTTTACATCCTTCTTAAATTGTATTTTGCTATTTTTAACGTGTACAATGTATGATGTTGGCCTTTCTTTGTGGGTAATTCCGAAATTAGGGTCCATTTTTTGTGTGTCCCTGTCACATCTGACATGATTTTGTGAGTTCAGAACACATTTTCTAATTTCCAAAAGTGATGAATTCATTCAAATTACCTGCCAAACAAATAGTAATAGTTTGAAATCAATTCTGTCGATATTTCCATGTAAAATACATGTAACAAACGTCAGATGTAACACAAAAAAGTCACTTTTCTAAACCCCTAATTTCTGGAGTTACACCTGTACTGTGGATTAGGGATATTGGTTTTGGCACCGGGACATGTACATGTTTGAGTACGATAATTGTTTCTCGGGAGGAGACGTGTCCATATGGAACAAGTTGTCTTCCTAATCCTTGGTCTGCTGACATTGCTGGATCCACTGTCCATCAACACTCAAGCCAGTGCCTTTGTTCAACCTGAAATTAAAGATCGGTTTAATCCTGTTGATTAGGGTGAAAACAGCTTCAGAAAGATGAATCCTGTTTAGAATTCTGTCAGATTCTCTCAGAATGTAAGTCTTACATGTACGTGTACGTGCTGTTCAGTGCCGTCTGTTTGGGGTTGGATTTTGCTGGTGCTGTAATATTTGTAGCCCCTGGGGTGATTTATTTGAACCATCTGTGGGTGTGTCCCCTTTCTTTGGGTATCCCATTTTCAAAGAACCAGACATTAAATCATTGCAGGAATCATGCACGGATACATAATGTGACACAGGACACGTGTGAGTACTTTATGCATGCATCAAACATTTCATTATGGTGACTGTACATACAAAACCGTGAAACCCGATCTTTTGTAGATGGTGCATAATGTGCATACTGTACATGTACATGTACAGTATGCACTACATGATCATGTTCATGTATGGACTTGTGTCTTGATACGGTTTACATGTACGTGTATGGTATGATTTATAATGTGCGTTACATGTACACGCTACATGTATATTATGATTTACGTGCCACATTACGTAAATTCATAGTGCTCATGTACGTGTTGTTTGGTCATTTGTTATACCCGGTACATGAAAACCATTCCTGAGCTTTGAAGCTTTTCATGGTGAAGGAGGCAAGTGACGTGCAGGTAAAGAGGTCTTCGATAGCACCATACACCGAGTGGTTCTGATAAGAAACGGAGGGTACTCAACGTTTAGGACAGTATCACTGTCCATCGTCAGCCTTGGGTACTTATGAGAACCATCCATACTCAAAAAGAGAAATCCTCGCATGGTGCTACCGCAAGCCTTTTTTTTACTGAAACCATGGCTGTCACACATTCTAAACAAGGTAACAGATGTTGTAACTTGTGAGGAGATTTGAAAGTCCACAATATAGGAAGGTATAGCCTGACGTGACATCAATTTTTTCAGTTTCAAGTAAATTTTGTTGTTGTTGAAATGGTTATCTGTGCACTAAAATATGTACGCTGTTGTACACAAGTAAAAGTTTGAGAAAAGTTTTGAGAGTTTTATTGATGTTTCTATTTTTTTGTAGGTGCTCCAGCCAAGACCAATGACGAAACATTGGAAGAGAAGGAGAAATTGAAGTACTATGAGCAGGTGCGTGGAGATGTTTAGGAATGACTCGTTAGACCGAGCCATTTCATCGAAACGTTTCAATCAAAGTGAAAATTGGATGAAAATTCAAGTTCAGATTGTACCTATAACAGCCTTTGCTATTTGTTTTTACAAATACATTGTACCTGTATCTTGTTACATTTAGTAGTGAACATTGTCCAGTTGAAAGACAACTTAGACGAGTGTATTAAATACCCCTGAAAGCTAAGTGACACCAGTTTGATTCCCTCCACAGGTTGTACAATCATTGCTAGAGGCAGAGAGGAAACACGAACAGGAATTGAGATCACTATTAACAACGTATTTAAGGCCGTTAGAATCCGCCAATGTGTAAGTCCATCAAAATTCTTAGCACTCCCCCCCCGTGCTTCGTTTCCTTGCCTGTCTCCTCACCAACCTTTCCTTCTCCCTCTGTCATAAAAAAAAAATGAACTCAGACGTATTTTTGGTCCTTAATTTTGTTGGTTGTTAAAATCTTTTCATGTATTCTGTTTCTGCCTGTGCCATCATTGTTTTCACTGTTTTCACCGCTGTTGCTTACAACCAAAGTTGTATTTCTGTCTCATTTTCAGTAAAATATTCTGTTTTTTAAAATTGCTGGCTGTTGACTTTCATTGCTGGCCTAGACTTTGCCATCTCTAGTATCACTGCTTTTGGTGTATTCACCTGGTTTTTAATTCCTTTGTTGTTGTTATTGCTTTTGTTGCGACAGTTTTGGTTCAAGGTATTTTAGTTCTTTGTACCTGTGCCGAACTTTCAAGTTTGGATTCCATAGAAGTGCACTCACTGTGACCCCAGGGCACACAGAGTACAGTAATTTGGGAATCAGTTGTGGGTTTTGTGTGGGAGATCGTTTCAACATGTGGCACACAGTGCACCTGTGTTTGGCCTAACACTTAACACTGGCCTTGTCCAGGAATATCACTTTTTGCATTCTCAATTTGTATATCTGACCCCTGAACCTTGACCCTTAGGTCGTATAGTTAATGATGACAGGGGTGCGTAAAAACACAACGTGTCATATCCAGGGGGTAAAAGCCAGATATGGAAAGAGTGGACAAATAAACACCTTGAAAGTTATCAATGTCAAATTTCTTTTTTGTCATGAATCTTGAAAGAAAAAAAAAATTCCTAAACGGTCTCAAGGAAAGCTTAATGTTATTGTTCTGTGGAGTGCAATCGCAAGCAGGGAACCTTGAACAAAGAACTTGTGTTGATTCACCTGGGGCTCAGAGAAGAGACTTGGGTTGAATTTGTGTTATTCTTTGTCTCTTGTATTCAGTGCTTCTTTGTTCCTTGGGTTTTTCTATCCATTCTTGGCGAGGCGCTACACGTATTTAATCATCAAACACGTTTATTGGTTCAGGTGGAAATGTTGAGAGTTGTTCATTTAGACAAATCATCAAAGGACCTGTGTGGTTTTTCCTTTTTTATTTTGGGGAGAAAACCATTTTTATACTTAAAGTGGTTGGAAGTGATTTCGTCTGTGACCATTAAAGGTGTGCGGTTAAATGAACAACTGTATGCACTTCACATGCTGCAAAATCCTCCCGGATTCCTCACTGTGCAGGAAAGCCATGGCAGTTTCTTGTACTCTAACTTGCAGGGGCATCATGTCCCGTGTGAAATGGCAGATGAGGGGCTGTTCTGTCCTTAAACCTGAGAAACCCCTCAAGATCTTCAGTTGGATTGTGAAAGATCTGGAAGGGTTAAATGATCAGTTAGCAAATAAGGTGAAGCTCACTCTCAAGGGGAAGAATTTTGGAGTCCCATGTCCATCTCTTTAAAGCAAGGGCTGGTCACCAGTTCGCTTGGAGGTCACTCTCCTGGACCCTGTTCTCAAAACAGTATCTGTTTGATGGTTTGTTGACGTTTCAGCTTGTCAGCGAGCGACTTCGCCTTGCTCTGTGGCAACATCGAAGAGTTGTTAAGCTTTCAGCAATCCCTCCTGGCGTCGTTAGAAGAGACTGCCAAGTGAGTACAGACTAATTAGTCCAGAATTCGGATTCCGAAAATAAGCACGGTTGCCAATAAGTATTGTTAATTAATGTCAACTGTAATTGTACAAGTGTGCACATTTGTAATTGTCCTGCCTTCATCATTTTAGACATGAAGGCCTACAACGTAAGCGTATCTGTCATCTTCTACATGTAGCTGCAGGTCTGCTTAAAAAAGGCAAAAAAACAAACAAATAGCATAAACTCTTTCCATAGTTATAGTTTCTGGTTTTAATTACGGTATGATTGGAACGTGTTGGTTGTAATCATTACGTTTGCTGTAATCTACAGGCTACAATGTTCTTGGTATGACCTGAAAAAACTTGGCTAAAACTGAAAGTCATGCTTCCATAAGATCAACAGCACGTAAACTTCCAAGAAGAAAATAGAGCATTGTCATCGTATGTGTAAGGTACCTAGTGCACAGGAAAGATGCACCGGTAGGTATGCCACACACAGAGTGTAGGAAGCTAAGACATTGGCTAGGTGCCAGACCAGTGAGTAAGATCTTGTATATTGAGCGGAACCAGTCTAATCAGGGTCTGTTGTGGTACATTGCAGTATGTAGTTGGCATAATTCCACACCGGTTCGTTGTTGCAACCCCCGGAGGACAAGATACCAATCTAGAACAGGGCTCTGCCAAAATGGCGAGGTTTTTGCCTATACTGAACTTTGGAAATCTCCAGAGCACAAAACGTTCTTAGACCAGAAAAATGAGTCTTGACTAAGTTCTTGTTACTCTGAAGGAAATTGACTTTTTGGATTAGAAGGTCCAGTGTATTTTAGTTGTGTCGTACCTTTCAAGGCTGTCTGCTGAAAAGCTAAAATAATGTTGATGTTGTGTTAAATGTACACACCTGTTCAGTTCAACGAACTCATTGATAAATAGCAGTTTTTATTGTCAGCGATTAGTCATCCAAGTCTGGTTGCCACATCCTTAAGATCACGTTTACCCGTTACATTTCATTGGGAAGTGCAGTCACCACATCAGTGGTCGTGTTTATACCACAGGACTGGTGTACTTGTAGTTACCTTCTCCCTCTTCCTGAAAAAAAAAAAATGCTGCCGGAAACCTCAAAACGCCCACACCTAAAAGTTCCCCGCTTTGCAGATCGGGATAATTTATAGGCCCATGTACACGTACCGTACTTACACAGGCCCTCTCTGTTAGGAATGTGTACACTGTGATGTTGGGAAGTTTCGATAAATTGAACAGGGAGATTTAGGACCTTTGACCTATTGAAACGGTCGGTAGACTTTACACTTTACACACATGGATGTACATGTACATACTACAAAATACATGTTCAGTATCATGTGCGCATTGTATGTAAGTGTAACTTTTGTGTCAGACTTTACAAAATTCTAAAATGGAATTTAGTATTGAAAGGCAAACATTGTCTCATTTTGCTGTTTAAACAGCAGTGGTACGTGCCGTTTTTAGAAAGTGCAACTTCTATCCCGAGGGCATTTAGGGGTACAAACAGAGAATGTACATAGATCCACTTTTAAAGGCAGTTCTGCAGAATTGGATGGACTCAACGAGATCACGAGGGATAGCAGCGTTGTGCATTGTATTTAATAAAAAATGAGGTTATACCAGTATGTGGGTGATTCTATAAATTAGAGGTCCAACTTGGGGACATTATGGTGTTCTGTTACGGGTGAAACCATTCAGCTTTTCTGGATGGAACTAATATTAGTACTGTTCACATTCTGTAGATCAAACAGGATTACATTGTTTATGACCTGTACAATATAAAGTTCAATCTGCACAATGTTTGATAATGTGGTTACAATTTTACATGAAGAAAAGTTGGATGGCTTCACGTGTAACAGGACACCAAACTGTCCCCAAGTTGGACCCCTAATTTCTAGATTCCCCCGTGTACACATGTGCAAATACTATTCCAAAGGATCAAAGGTCAGGCATTTTCACCCTCGCTTCCTTCTCTGCAGAGTCCAAACCCAGTCTTTCTTGGTTTTAATTAATGGGGTACCGTACTTTAAAACCGCGTTTCCATTTTTTTTTCACATGTTTTATTTTGGCCAGCACAATGCTTCACAGGGATCACTTCTTAAAAGCAACTTGTCATGTACTGTACGCTTTCAGTGCACAAATGTTAAAGGGAATCTGCTTTTGTGCTTCCGTAAATTGAATACTTCCACTGGTACGGTATGGGGAACAATCAAACAATATGGATCATTCACAATACAGTGCACCACCAAGTGGTTGCCGGGGAACGGCCATTTTCTTCCCAGTGCATTGTGGGAAATGGCCGACATTCTATTAGCTGCCTGTGTGCAGGGGGCTTGAATTTTTCCTGATGTGCATCCAGGTAGATTAGTAAATGTGTTTCAAGTATCGGTTCTGATTGATTCTTTTTTCTGTCCCCTGCATAGAATGCAATGATCTATCAAAAAAATTCCTTCGGTTGTCTGCTGATGTGCACTCGAGTACAAATTACTGCAAGTCGGTCATGTTTTTAGTCCATTGTGAACTTGACAAATTGCCTCTCCTTGGCCACCTCTTGGTGGCGCTCTTAATTGTGAATGTCCTGTATTCCCCGTCACGTACCGGAACAGTGATGATATATTAATGCAGCATGCACCATGAGCAAGGATCACACTGGCTGCTAGCCGTCTTTAGTCTGCTGGATCCCGAGAGCGCCCGCGTCGCGGAGCCCCTTTAAGCCTTGTTATCTGCCCAGCACATGTCCAGGAAGCACATCCAAGCACCCCTGCTTCCTCCGGCCTTCCTGAGCATGGTGCACCCCCGCTGCTCACTCACCCTGTACATCGTCCACATCCTGTTCCCTTTTAGGGTCATGCCACTCTCCCCCCCTCCCCCACCAGAGTTTGATTTATTTTTTGTCAAAATGTTGTACCTGTTAGTCGTGTTTCACTTAAGGTATTAAGGGGGCAGGCCATTTGTGGGTTTATTGGCTGTATGATTCCTCGAATTGACAGAATCCTCTGGACCCTGCATAATCCTCCACAATGCATTGCTACTACTGACACATTGGTGACCAGATCCTACAAAATGAGTGTTAAGGCCATGTTTTTGGTAGTTCTACTTTAGTTTGCATGCAAATAAAGCAAATTGAGTTCTTTGTTTGGATGTGTCTTCCATGTTGGCATCCTGATGAAAAATGGACAATATGACAATGACAGCCGTGTGGAATAGACTGATCCATTAAGCCCTGTACCCGGACATGCGTGCATAAAAGTCTGACATGCGTAATGCACGTACGATGCGTGTGGCTGAAACATGTAGTGTGGAACTGAAAAAGACCAGGTGCTGAATGCCCATGTGCGAAGTGGGCTGAACTTTCTGGATTATTCTATTGGGCCTTAGCTCTGATTTTTAGACTGTTTTGTATATCAAGGATTAAAAACAAAAAAAGTTTGTAAAAAAATTGTAGGCTAAATAATACATGTCTTTTTGTAGTATCTTTGTTAAAACATGGTTTACTCAGCATCCAGTTTAGTTACGCACTGCCTAGGACATGTTTATGTGTGCGTCTAGAACAGTTGGACTCATGTAAGAGGAACTTCTTGAGTTTTATTGTTTTGGGAAGGATATGACAGTTTAGAAAATGAATTGTGACAAAGTGAAATTACAAATTCATTTGAACTAAATATGAACAGTGCATGTCACGTGCCTACAACAAAATAAAATCGTGAAGCTTTGTGCCAATGAAACAGACCTTGTTGATATCAGGGGCATTTTTTATGTATATATTTATTTATTTCTATTAAATTTTTTTCAATTGGGTTTGAACATCCAGCGTAGGTAGGGCCGGGAAGCTCAGTTGGTAGAGCACCGGTATGATATTCCGTAGGTCGCAGGTTCTGATCCCCCTCCAGTCAATTTCTTTGTCCATCTGTATATTCAGGTTAGAACATCGGCAGAAGAGAGTTGGTGCTTGTCTCATGAGGGCAGCAACGCAGTACAAATCACTCTACTCGGCCTACTGTGCCAACCACCCCAAGGCTGTCCATGTATTACAAGAGCACGGGTAAGTCACATATATACAGAGGTTCTGCAGTACACTCTGGGATGTCATTACAGGTCACTATGGGCTTGTGTCCATGAGCAAGACAGTTGACCACAATTGTCTCACTTATCCAAGGACCAAATGGGTCTTCACAAAGGTAGTATTGGTCTTCTATTTGTCAGATCTGGTTGTAAATAAATATGAAACCTGCAAAACCTAAGCTTTCTACTTGTTCCTTTTTCTGCAGTGAAGAACTGGGAAAATTTATGGAGAGTAAAGGAGCCCCCAGCCCTGGAATCATGTTGTTAACAGTCAGTCTGAGCAATCCCTTCAGAAGGTTAGACAACTTCATCACCTCTTTCCAGGAGCTGGAGAGACACATATTAGTAAGTGACCACTCGGTAGAACCCTTGATTTCCTTTTGTCCCCACTTACTTACAAGTGGATGGCTGCAGTTTGAGTGACTTTTCTAGTGTCTGCACAAGACAGTCCTAGACTGAAGGTCATCAAACATTTCACTTTCCTTTTTGGGTCTTGTTTGGCTCTGTCCAAATCAAGTGGCTGTGACTATGAGTAACACACATCAGTGTTGTAATAGTTGATTCCTTTTTCCATACTGGTACTTGTACTCATACTCATGGGAAAATACTCATACTCGGTGAAATATTTGCCTCGTACTCCTACTCGCCCTCATGGCATACATGTATTACTTATACTCATACTAATGGAAAATACTCATTTTGGTGAAATATTTGCCTCGTACTCCTACTCGCCCTCATGGCATACATGTATTACTTGTACTCATACTGATGGAAAATACTCATACTCAAACTCATGGCAAAATACTCATACTCAGTGAAATATTTGCCTAGCACTCCTACTCATCCTCATGGCATACACGTAGTACTTGTACTCATACTCACGGAGAATACTCGTGCTCATGGAAGTGATCTATCTGATGTGCCTCATCACAGCCTTGGTTCAGCTAAGCTTCAGTGCCCACAATTCACAGTGCTTCCTAGCGAGATTCTTGTACAGAAGGTGGGACAGCCTGTTTCACCCTTCTTGTTGGGGTGGTTAGCATTTTAAATCCGTCTCTGTCTAGCTCTGTGAAGACATTAGTATCACGTCACTGACCTGTGGTCACCTAGGGAGGATGTGTCAATCAAGGTCATTGTGTGGAATCTAATCGGATGATCTGTTAATTTAGTATTAACAGTGCGTTGAATAGTGACAGGTGGGACCTGGTCCTTCAAATCCAACCAAGGTCAGCAGGTCATAGATTTTTCTGAGCCAGCACTTTTAAATAAAGTTAACTCTGTATGAGGGAAGCAGAGGTATTGCAACTTACGTTTTGAAACTGCGTCTTTTTTTCTTATTATGAACAGAATACACATCCAGACAGAATAGAGATTCAGACCTGTGTGTCGGTGTACAGAGATATTAAGGTGAGCGAAACATGCCAGTTTACCTAGTAGAAATAAATCAACAGCTCGGCCACTCCGAAGTTCCTCCCAATTCCCTGATTGAACTTAACACAGAAAGGATTTCCTAAGCAAAAACAGGTTCCCACAAAATGTCATGTGGTTCATATTGCTTTTGACTGGTTCCCTTCTAACATCTGCTTAGATCGTGAATCTGCTTAGCAGTATATTTTGTTGTGCAGCTCGATGGAATGGAGCCAATGTGAGAACCAGGCCCAAGTAATGACATCACTGAGTAAAACCTTCCACTGTAAAAAAAAAAAAAGAGGTCATGTTGAAATGTGTCGTCTTAATTGCCATAGTGAATGATGCCTCCGGCTTTCTCCGCAGACTTAGTCACCAAGTGCTCGGATGACAAAGTTCTTTTGTCGTTTTGCCCCCCCTCCCTATTCTCTCTTGCAGAACCATTGTTTAAGAGTCAGGAAATTAAAGGAGGCAGAGTTCGAGATCATGACGGGCACAATACAAGGCTGGGAGGGAGATGTGAGTCAACCCGTTAAAGCTGTGGTTATTTCTAGACGACTGACCTGCCCCATAAATAGACCGACTATTGTTAGACTGCCCCGATTCTCTTTTCTTCTTTTTTTTTCCTGTCTGATGTGGACGGATATCCAAAGCTACGTTTCCACTGAAAAGGGGAAAGTTTGAGACCGAATCATATCTGATGGGTCATTTACTCATCGAGATTGAAAATTGACCAAATCTTAGAGATTTATGGAGTTGACATATTGGAGAAGTCTGGCGCATATATGTTCAAATCTGTAGCCATGCTTGAAGAGGAAATGAGGTGTTTCAGTGAAGCCCGAAATAAAAATTCAGCTCTCTCAAGTACATGCTGGTATCATTTGTTGGTAAAGGAAACATCCAAAAAACCTGTCTATCTTGATATCAGTTTATTCATAAATTGATGTATCACCAAGAGTGCCTATTTCTGTGATTCACCTTATGGGACTAAGCAGTAAGAAATGTTGTGTCTGTAACAGCTGCAGTATGTAGTGAAATATTTTGCAGGAATCCACTCTTGAAAAGCATGTTGGTCTTAAATTGTACACAGTATATGGGATGTGGTGTAAAGCTTCATATGATGCGGTGATATTTGCCTTAACCCTAACACCAAAGTGTCATTTACTACCGGTAGGCTTGGGACCAAATCCGTCAAAATCCAACACTCCCTGTGCAGTCCACATTGCTGTTGTAACGTCTACCACTGATGTGGTGGTCTTTGTTCGTGGACCTATAGAGGTTTTGCATGGCAGCCATCTTTCTGGTAACTGCTTTTGTTGCAGAGGGATAGCACAAAAGGTCTCCTCGTGTATCTCTTTGGAATAAAAGCTCTTTCCAGAAAAATGGCTGCCATGCAGGACCTCTATTATGCATGGCTTACATGATGTCATCAGTACTGTTGCCATGGAGAAATGTACCTGAATGTCCTTGCAGTGCTTCGGGCCTCCTGGGGCCAATTTCATAGAGCTGCTTAAGCAAAAAATTTGTTTTGAGCATAAAAACCTTGCTTGACAAATCAGGTTACCAGCTAAAACGCCTTGTGATGTATATTTTGGAATGTATTTACCTGTCTTTTGGTTAGCTTGACAGTCACATAGAGTTTGAGCTGGTACCCTTTGTTTATTAAGCAAGGTTTTTTCATGCTTAAGCAAATTCTGCGCTTAAGCAGCTCTATGAAATGGGCCCCAGCTAGACTAAGTCCAACAAAATCTCCCTATAATAGGAAATGGACTTTGATGGATTGAGGGTGGTGGAAGTTGATTGGTTGTTTTTTTAATACTTCCATTTCTGATGATCGCGTAGGCTATTGATACGTACGGGGAGGTCATCAAATTCATCAACGCTGCTATCATGGTCGACGGCATCAAGAAGGAACGCTTCCTCCTCCTGTTCCCCTCCTGCCTGTTGGTATTGTCTGCTACGACTGCTATGAGTGGCTACATCTTCCAGGTAAGTGGAATATTCCATTAGTTGTAGGGTTAACCTGTTGCAGACAGTATCATTTCTTGTTTGACAAAAAAAAAAAAGAATTTTGGAAGAGGCAAGATACAGTGGTTCACTTTCAAAAAAATACAGGAAATCGACACAAATATTGCTTCTTTAGAGCTATTTGAGTAAAGTTTGGAACACTCTGTCAAGGTGGCACCACAGAATTAGATCTCTGGAATATGCTGCGAGCAGCAGTCAAGTTCAACACCTAGTCTACCGGCACAGCCATCCTAGACACATTGTCTGTCTGTGCACAATGAATTAGGGATTCAGCGTGTACATGTCAGCTGGCAAGACTCAGGACACCGAATGGTTCAACCCATCAGCTGTCCCAACTAACAAAGTTTGTCAGATCTGGTGTACATATCCTCTGGCGCCAACTGGATTTAGGGGTTGAGACGCTTTAACAGTGAATGGGTGACTGCAAAATCAAACAGACATTCAGAGTGAAACACTTGACAGTGGAAACGTTTGTTTCCCGTCTGCTTCTAGTATAAGATTCCACTCGCTGGCATCAAGACAAGTCGGCAGCCAGACACCAACCCCAACTACGTGGCCTTTGACCTGAGCGGTGGATCGGCTGAGAAGCAGACCATCGTCTGTGGGAGTCTGATGGATCGGGAGGACCTGTTGGACACGATAGACGAGCTGCAGAACAAGGATAGACCACCCACCACGCCCCTCACCCCTCTCCCTCCGATATCGCCCGCGATGCTACCGCAGTCGCCCACGATGGCAACTCAAGGAAAGAATGAGGTAAGCAAGAGATTGGAGTGAGACGTTCTGATGTTGGTGAAACTCCACCAGAATCAAATGTCAGGCCCTCAAACTTTTTTGTTTTTATATTTCAAGTCTTCTTGTCTGTAACCAGTTTACAGTTTAAACAGCATTTTTTGCATTGGACTTGGAAAGTTGTGAAAGTATTAGAAACTTGGTGGAGACGATTCAGAAAAACAAAAAGAACCGACCGCATGGGACTTGAACCTCCAACATCTCGACTACTGCACAAAGTGCTTTGTTTAGTTAACATAGCTGTAGTGTACAGCGTCCAGTCTGGCCATATTGTTCAGGGAATTCTTTTCAGTTTCCTCTCGCGTGCTGTTCACTTAGCGAAGTTCATCAAAGAATGGGGCAGTGGTTTGCTGCGTCATGTAGGTTTTACTCAGATTCTTGAATCCAGAAATACCTAGGACGATCCACGTCTCTTCCCCAGCCCATGTCCAGGAGAGAGAGGAACAGCTCCTCCACCAGCCCGACGCGGACCAACCCCTCGGCCACCGCGGCCTTCACCAAGCACAAGCCCAAGTCCATCAGTTGCTTGCGGCCCGGCGCCCCGGTCAGTCCTATCACCGTCTGGGCCCTGAAGGAGGGGCAGGCCAAGAGCCCCAAGAACAAGAAAAAAGTGCTGCACGGCAGCCGCAAGAAAGGTCAGACCTCAGGTTTATTCAGTTCCCTCATGGCATAGGCTCCTGGATTCCAGGATAGTTAGTCCCCAAAATGGTCCTTCGTTCTTGCATTTTGACTGTCATAGGTCAGCTGATGCAGATACAGTCTAATGTGTGACCCTAGTGGTTCAACGATTTCACTGGTTTTGACACGATTTCATGCCAAGGAACCAATGCTAAATGATCCAGTTTTTAGGTCCAGGCCCATCATTCAATGAACACTGTTTAAATCTGATACTCGGGAGCTTTGGGTTCTGCTAGTGCCACGCCTGTGCCTCCATCATTAGCTTTAACGCCATTTGGCACAAAGTTGGCACACGCAGATGCTGATTATAAATGCGATAACCCCTGACCGTTGCGGCTTCTTTCAGCAGCCGAGAAGAGCAAGACCCTCCCCATGGACAGCTCGTCCCTGAAAGGGATGGACAGCCAGGCGCTGGAGGAGGACAGTCGCATCTTGAAGGTGATCGAGGCGTATTGCACCAGCGTGGGCTCCCGCAACACCATCAACTCAGGTAAGGGCCAGAGAGGGGAAGGGGGAAGGGTCTACCATTTGGACGTAAGGAGGGGGGGCGGGAAAGTGTCCGTCTTGTTTTGTCATTCAGAAGATAATCCTTAATCATGCCCTGGATTCTAGACTCTCTGCATGTATTCATCGATGGTCAGGTAAGGTGGAGGGGATGTGGTCTTGTAGTCATCTAGCCAGCGTTCTAGCGTGCTGTCAAATTTCGCCGAGGACGGAGGCATGTATTCGTGATTCTTGCTCAGTAAACTGGTTCGTAAGCTGCACATTGGCAGTAGGTCTTTCCGATCAGTGGCGTTGGATCTCAGGAAGCTGCTTGATTGATGCAACAAACCCTGCAGCAGTCTGAATCTTCATCTCGTATCATTACACCGACCTTGGCAATAAGAGCATTCCTTCAGAGTTTGATACGAGACGGGCGGGGACATTTCCAAGATGGCCTGAAGTGAAGTCAAGTTATTCACAGCATGCATATCTCTTCAGTAGCAGCCAGTAGGATCTACAAAACCGGCTTTTTTAACAACATTCATTTTTGTCGCAGCCTGAGCGATCGGCAGCGTCTGTTATATTTTATCACTAAATTTGCTAAAACAAAATGCTGTTTTCAAGATATAACGATTTCTGTTAGACTGCCAGAGCAGTCAGGCTTTCACCCTAAAAATAGAGATTAGTAGCACTGCCTTCAAATAAAGCATTCTGTTCAAAGATGCAAACCTGCAGTTTTGTCAACCGAAGTGAGCAGTGTTACATCAGCTAGCGTCAAAACATGGTGTAGTCTTTGACCTAATTGTGCAATGTGAGAGAGTTGTGTGGAGAGAAATGTGCACAGCTTGCCATGAAAGAAGGTTAAACATGAGGTTACGTCGTGTGGCAATAGGTCCTCAGACGGGTGTGTTTATCTGAGGTGCGACCGAGGATAGGGGTCACATCAAATCATATGTATGTGTCAAACTTGCACAGTATAAGCCCGTGTAATAAATAGCTTGCTTCCGCACATGATGTTTCAGATTGAAGTGAATCCGCAACAGTAAGAGGGAGAATTACAATAGGCCGTGTCATCATATTGAAATCCCTTGTTCGTTTAGTAAAAAAATAGTTGAAGTGTGAACCCACTTTGAAAAAACAGGTAACGGTATTATTAAAACTCCAGAAGTGGTGTGTAACAAGTTGGCCATATCTGCCCGTACATCAGTGATGTTATTTCAAGCAAATCTTTAATCCCTTTAAGAAGCAAGATGTGTAGTCCGTTTGCCAACTGCTAAAAGTCAATTTGTTCATCTCTGGGCACTTTGAATTTTGGGATTCTTTCAAATCGGATACCTATGGATATAGCTGATGGGCGTAATTGTGTGAAGGTGCAGTTAAGTTTGGACAAGTTGTTTAATTGTATTACATTCATTCCAGATATGCATGTAGAATCAGTGATTTTTTAAAAATAAATTACATACAGCCGTAGAAGGGTCATGATTGGTAAGGAAATCCTACTTGTCTCCTTTTTCTTTACGCTTAAATACCGTATGTATGTATCATGTCATGCAGAAATCTGCTTTGTTTTGTTTCATTTTCTTTTCGTTTTCACTTGTTATTATTTTCCTTTTTTTTTTTTTTTGGTGGCGCATACTTGCACTACGAATCTCTCTCCATACTGACAGCAGAAACAGTTCATTAAACTTCTTGGCTTGGCTAATAGCAAAGAAAAATGCTCTGCCCTGCTGAAATTGTATCTCGCTTGGTTTTCCATTTTGTACCGTAGTCCAAAGCTTTCCTTTCTTGCATTTTTTTCCTTTTTGTGTTTTGGTTTCGTTTGGGGGTTTTAGTTTGCTCTTGTTTTGAAAATCTCGTGGAAAAAAAGGAAACAGTGAACAGCGTGTAGTGATGATGGGCTTGGTTGGTTTGGTTTTAACCAATCAGTGAACACATATCTATGCATTCCTACGTGATTTTTTAACTGTTAGCCTTGTGCTATGGCGGTTAATACTTTCTTATTCCTTTTATCAGTGAAGGCTCATACCTAGATTTGTATTTCAAAGATGATTTCGTACCAAAAGGTTTTGACTGATTAGTGTGACAGGATCGGCTCTTTTAATCTTCAGACATGGTGTTAAAGCTTTCTTGCAAAATGAAATTCTTCAAGTGAGCAGTTTGTAATTGCATTTTGCCATATTCAGAGTACTGTTCAAAGTAAAAGGTTTTTTTGCTATTTTGCTTCAAAATTCAGGGCCTGTCCTCAATTTTAAAGGTATTATACAGCCAGGGTATAGAATTGGTGAGTGGTCTCCTTTCAAAATGGTAAACAAGAAATTATGTCTGCTTGTTGGAAGTGCTTCCAAATAACCCATATCTTGGCTTCTATTGAAAAAGGTTCCATCGATGTTCCCATCCTGTCCTTGGGTTAGACTGAAAAGCCATTGTGACGTTAAACTTCAGAGAAGGGAAAAAAATCCCAAAAGTTGTCCAATCCTCTACCCTGCCATATTTACTTCTCCACTTTCAAATCTCCCCCCTCTCCCTGTTTTTTTTTGCCCCCTCCCCCAATTTTTGAAGCAATTGCTGACCTGTTCCTTGGTCTTGAATCCTGTCTTCTCTTGACTTGCTGCAGTGCCGGTAGAACCCGCGCCCCACGTCTTTTTGGCCGAGGAAGAGAAGATAATTCACGAGGAGACCAAAGGAAACGAGACTATAGTCGAAGAAAAGTGAGTGCTTTCAAGACCTCATCCAAAAAAAAAAACACAAAACCAAAGTTCCCGTCCAGAGTCCAGCCATTCAGTTTCCTATATCCTCCAAATTTGGCTTTTTCAGTTTGTAGATGTTCCAACAAGCGTTTCCGTGTTTGGAAGAATTCTTGGCGACAAGCATTGCATTTTCTGAGCTTTTGCTATTAACTTTCTTCTTCTTTTTTTTCCTCTCTGTTAAACAATAAAATGGTGGATTGCCGTGTGCCCACATCATCGGTGTATGAAGTAACCATTTTTGCGTGCATCTGTTGTCATGGGGTTGATGCAGTTGTTGCTATCTCGCTCTTTTGCACTGTAGGTTGTATTCATAATTCTCTGTGAGTCAGTCATTTTGTTTGTCTTGATGCCACATCAAATTTGTAACAATTTGGCTTTTTGGCTTGAGCTCTGACAATTGCCATTGAAGGGCTGTTGTGAGTGACCATCCGCAACCATAGCCTAAAATGACCAGTCTGGACACAGCCTAAAGTACAGATTTATGCCAGGCACAATGAAACAATTGTCAGTATAGTCTGATGCCGTTACGTTCGTGCCCACTGCCTCATCATCTCTTTTTTAAGTCTTCTGGAAACCAAACAAAGATGGCTACTGTTTGAATGTTCCAGCTGTGAACGTACATTTCTCTGTGCATGGTCAAAGTCTCTCTTGACTATTTCTACTTCAGAACCTGAAAGAAAACGTTTTGGCTCAGTCCGTAGAGAAGGCAAAATGTATCGATCTTTTTTCAGGTAGTTCAGTTCCATTTACAGTGGTCCAACTGTCCAATACTCATCAAATCTAATCAACCAGTCTGCTGTGCTTTTTAGCTACTAACATCTGAAAATATAAAATTATTCCGAAGAGCACCTCTTCTCTTAGGGATGTTATGATGATTGCAAGTCCCCAACCTGCAAGTTAATTGAGGCCTACTGATGCTAGGAAGTTGATTGGTGTAAAATACACTCTTCAGTTTTTGTACTTCTGAGCCAGTTAACGTTAAAAATCAGTGGAATCAAAGGACAAACGAAGCACATTCTCTTGATTTTGAGATTACTCAATACAGTACATGTAGCTTAAAGAATAAATGTAATTGTTTTTTTATTTCAAAGTACGGAGTACTCTGTCAGCTGACCCTTTCACCATTTAGTCTTGAAGTATCTCTTTTAACAGATAAGTGACTTTTAAGAGAGAAACCCCAAGAATCTGTCCTTCCATCCAGCTGCCTCATGTCTCAGCATCTTTCTCCTTGCCTGGTGCCCGGTTCCCCCGTTTTTCCTTTTTTTTTCAGCATCCCTCCACCCTCTTCGCTCTCTCCCCACAGCGTCTGGGACGTCTTCATGCGCACCTTCAATCGCGCATGTCGCTCACCCCCATTCCAGGTAACGCCGGCATGACGTACACGCACTGCATCCATCTCCCCTGCTCGTGTCTTGGATTTCTTTTTCTTTTCTTTCTTCTGTTCATTTTGATTATGGACAATGCGATTGAAGTTTTAGTTGAGACGGTTGCTAAATTTTTATTACTAACGTAGCTGACTTTTTAAAATTGTTAATATTAAAATTTTAAAGTAATAAGGGATTTCTATTCACATTAATTTGAGAAGAACAACGTCCGGTCATTTCCGGAATAAGTGCCCTGTGACAGTTGACTGTTGGCTCTAGAACTTAAGGGTTTAGGTTTTGCATCATGTACAAATAAGGGATAGTTAAGAAGGATGATTAGTTTTGTGAGCCGTATTACCCAATCAACTGGCGTTCTGTAAGCATTTTTATCTTCTTACATGGCTGTTATGAAACCAACAAGTCTTGACAAGATTTGGGAATGTTGAAATGAATTCCAATGTAAATTTTCAACAGTTATTTCTGTACATAAAACTTGTAGAAGTGTTTTTGACAATCCCCAGTTGAATTTATGAGAGCATTACATTAGAATTATGTGGATTCACAAGTATTGCCAAGAGAGCTTGGGCTTTGATACTTTAAAGACGTTTTGTAAGGCAAGTTGAAGCCAGTCAAAGCATCATGGCATCAGCATCTTCGCATGTTGGATTGTGTGCTTGAATTGCAAGCTGTCTTTGACCAGAAGAACATTGCACGAAGCTAAAAGCATTACAACTGCCCGGGTCACGCCTTGGTGGCTAGAGGTAACCTTCCCCCACAATCCTAAGCACTTCCTGTTTGTGCCAAATCCATGTATAGGCTTGCAAGAACATACTGAGGAACGTCAAACGACGTCACCAGGTACGTAGAGTTGACCGCTGAGACTTGAGGAAACGTGAAAGGGGCTGCCGCTAGCAGTTATGTCTGGCCCGCTTTAGCGTGCTTGAGCTGTCGTGGATTGCTCGCTGGCTTGCATAGATCTAACTTAAAGCAGTGCTGACTCTTTTGACAGCATGCAATGAAATGAAAAGCATGACAATATGAGGTACTGGAATCAATGTCTTTATCGGGATGTCATATTAGTGAGAAAAATCAGGGAAGAATGTTGCAGGTTTATCCTAACATTGGATTGGACAAAGACAACGACTGCTTTATTTGATGAAGTAGTCTTCAGCCGAAAGGGTATTGCTCAGGTGCCATTGAAACAATTTCCCCTTTGAATATTCAACAGATACATACAGTATGTAGTTTGTAATGTAAATTCACAAACCAAAAAAATCTGCATATACATATTCAGTGACGAATATTGCAGAGTCCCTTTCATACATTCAAATATTCCTTGTAATTATTTGTGCAGACAAAATAATTTTAGCCTTTAAGAATTCCAAGAAATCATTACATTTGCATTCTGTTTGTATTTGTGTAGTGAGTTTGTTTTATGGTTTAGTGACCCATAGCAAAATAAAAGTATCCTTTCCATTACAACCAGGCAAACATTTGACCTTTCGAACAGTTTTCCACCAAGTCAATCAGTTTTCATACATGTTCCTGTAAATTTTTGAAACAATAGTAAAGCATCTATCCTTTTCAAAATGGTTCTTTGCTGGATCGAGTGATATTAGTCAGAAATGTTGACATTTAAAAATGCTGTTTTAAAAGTATCAACACAATTCAGGGCATCATTAGCAGGTAATATTTCTCTCAGAAGTTCAAAGTGGGCCGTGAATGTTCAGATAGTTATTTTTGTTTGTTCTTACGTCCATAAGGGGGGGTACGTGTGTTTTTAGTCGCAGTAAGTGAAAGAAAATTGCTAGTGACTTCACACGATATCTTTCATATTTCCAAGTGTGTGAAGTATTTTAGCAAGCAGTTAGATTTTTATCACACCTTCATGCAACTTACCTTCAATATCCACCAAATTTCTTTTCTTCCCCCCCCCATCTCTTTGTCTTCCCCACCCCCAACTCCCTCCCACGTCACAGGAGTCTGATTGATACCGTCTACGCCCTCCGCGACCAAGTCAAAGACCTCGTCGACGAGACCAAACGCCTCAAGCGCGACCTGGACGATGAGCGAAGAGCGCGGAAGAAGTTGGAATCCACAGTCCGCAAATCCATGAAAAGCGGAGACATCAAGCTGAGCGACGGGAGCTTATGACGACCAAAGTGCGGGCAGAACTAACCCATTAGAATTTCTGCACGGCGAGCAAGGAAAAAAAATGTAAACAGCTATATATGTATATAGATATTAAGTTCTGAGGCAAATTTAAAATGAATAAAAATCCTAAACTCAGATTAATGTGTTTGTTTATAGTCAAACTATTTTGTCATTTCTTTTTTTTTTAGTTTTGTTGTAAAAATGCAGCGTCCTTTCTGTAAAGACCAGTTGTGGTCTTTTTGTGCCTAATGTTCAGGATCTGTCCAGCAGTGGCTTGTGTTCATTCTTGGGATTTTGTGTTGGGTTTTTTGGTCATCTGGTGACTTGATTTTGTGGATGAGACTTACCGTGCTCTCGCAGTCTTCACAGCTGCAGCTTGTGAATACAAGTTATGATGACGCATCAATCCTTGTCACAGCTGGGCAAATCTTGAACGGGGGAACGAGAGAAAGAGGCATCGCCAGAAAGTCAATACGATACATAAGGATCAGCTTGTGTGGGAGTCAGCATTACAAAAACTCAATCGTCTTAAGAAGTCCCTGCATTGATGGTGACCACTCATCTAAAATGTGAAGTGTACATTTGTGTTTTCTAGGAATATAAAAACCATCAGATCCCATGGAGATTGGTTGTCAGTTTTTTCCTGATGAAGATTCAGTTCAGTTTTCCTTCAAATAGTTTCTGAAGTTTAACTTTAAAGCTAGGATTAGTTACACGTATATGTCTTATATTTTATTCTTTTTTTTATCTTTTGATAATCAGCAGGGTATTTTGCTAAAAATCTCCAATCCATCGTATCTGTTTTTGGTTGCTTTGAGTATCAACTATTGTAGGTTTGTTTTCTACACATGTAATAAATGCTAAGCTTTTTTATCACTCTCAAAACTTGGACTTGCAAACCACACTGGATCCAGATTACAATCAGTGATCTGTCATTGGCGTACCGACACCAGAACCCGCCTAATGGATAGTTGTTGATGTTTAATAGCCACTCTGGGTCACATGACTTTGCTGACGCAGTTGGTCTATTATTTCCAAGTGCCTGAAAAGCAGGAGTCATCCCAATCTAACTGTACCCCCTACTGTCAAAAAAGGAAGTGATCTTCCAGTGGCTGTTTGTATTTGTTTAAGTTCTGGTTTCACTTTCCTTTGGGGAAATTGTCAGTTTCAATATTTGTTCAAAAGAAGTTCCTTTTTTCAGCCTTTTCTTCCGAGGATGTGCCCAAACAACTGTAAATTTTATTAATTTCATTTTCATATAGACATGTTGATGCATTTTTATTTTGGTCAGAGCTAAATTTGCAGGTGTCGTTTGTTGGGAAAAATTGTTGAATTTGATTATGTAGGTGATTTCAACCCACTGGTGAATTTGTAGAAAAAAAGAACTAAAAAAGACTAGGTATCAAAATTGAGAAGTTTTCAGGGTCTGTGCACAGAATAAAATTCAGAGTTGAAGAAGGCACTTGTATTTTTTTTCCCTTAAGAAAGAAATGTCATTTTTGTTTAATGATCTTTGTACACTTCAGAAATTGTAGAGGGATTGTTATTTTCTAAGTCAAATTGAATTGAAATTATAATAATTTAACTTGCTGGAAGTTCCTTGTTAAAAAGTACACTTAGTGTAAATAACCTGTATAAAAATTAACCAAAAATATTTAACCTCTGTATTTTGTCACTATTTTCACTCTAGTTTCCATGGTAATGTAATGCCCGAATTGGGTTAGTCTGAACTGAAAAAAAAAGCACGGCAAAACTGTCATTTGCTTCATTTACTACTTCAGTGGGTATTATAGACGACACCCCGACATGAATATTAATTATGAAAACTTATTTACATTAATAACCACGCCCTGTTCCTCATGCATAATGCAGTTTGTGCTGTGAACTTTTTAGTCTGTTTACTTTTTCTCCTAAGGATATTCCATCTTGTTTAGTCAATTTATCCTTAAACAGTTTATAAAAACAGTAAAAAAAAATATAGACTGAAATAGTGGGAAAAGTACAAAGTTTCCATTTTGGAAGATGAATAATTTTAAACAGTTACACTATACACATACAGTAGATGTGTTGCCGAATGTTTCTAGTAATTATTTGGTAGTCGGATACCTTGCTGAGCATTGCTTGGTATATTGAGCATCTTGGGCGGGAATTAAGGCCAGCGTATTAATATCAAGTATTTTCAACGTTGAAGGCATGGGCTACATAAGCCCTAGCTGTTGTACTTTGTGTTAAGTATTACAAAAAAAAGAACATTGTTTTTCAGTTATCCCACCTTAGGACCATTTTCACACAAAGAGTTATTTTACAAGCCACAGCATCAGGTTCAGTCTTCCCGATATTCGGGTTTGCGTCGGTGAATCTCTTGGCAACTCAGCTTTGGTTCGGCTTCCTATCTCATTTACACACACGCCATTTGCAGGGAATTATTTACTACAAGGTAAGTTACAGCTTACAGTTCAAGCTGCCGTCAAACTGAAGCCAATATTTCAAATTGGGCCAAACGACCAGCTTTGTTTTGCGAAGTTGCAAAAATGTCTGGTTTTGCCCCTCGGTTTTAAAGAACCATTAGTTATTCCTCCATGGGTAAAGCAATGCAGTTTTGAGCTAAGTCACTAGACTGCTTTTGAGAAAAGTTGTCGAAAGGGAATGTAAGCTGTTACAATTGGTCAAATCACTGAGGGAAAGAGTTCCGTATACAGACGCCTTGAGACTGGTCTGGAAAATTCTAAGTGTTTTCTTGGTAAACGACTTCATATTTTCCCTCCTAAATTGAATTTTTCTGGACATGTTTTTGCTTTCTTGTGGCTATGAAGTCACTGTAGGGAAGAATTACTGGCATCTGTATATGGAACTCGTCCCATCACGGAGAAACTGCAGTTGAAAAACTGCAATCTCATTGGGCTTGTCACATTTTTGGCAAAGATTGGTTGTCACCTAGCTCTACCGAGTGGAGCGTTCGTACTCCTTTTTTTTTTCTAAAGAGTAGCAACACTTTATTGTGTGCAGCTAATTGTCCCCAATATCTGCATCTGATAAGCCATTTTTTAATCAGGCGTTACCAGCATTATATCTAATTACATTTATGTTTTGAAGGTCATTGCTAATGACGCCTTCAAATTTATGGGAATAAAAGGAAGACGAAGTAAAAAAAGAGATAACCTGATGAATAAGGATTATTAGCTGGAAAATAGGTTGAGGTGTTCATCCAATCAGACTTGCTGATGCCAAGATTTTATCCAGGTAGAATTCAGATGACGGGATCGCAACCAATCCGAAGCAGCAACTATTTTTTTTTTCATTTGAACATGTGGCAAAATAAAACTCGACTGAAAAAAAGGAGAAACGTAATTTGTACATTGTACATGTAGATAGAAAATTGAAACTTAATAAAAATTGTCTCTGTTGGTTATGAGACACCTATCATAACCGTACTCAAATGGTTGCTCTTTTGTGGAATGATCTCATGCTTCTTGAAAGTTGACCCCTTTTTAAGTATTACAACCTGATCATGACAGGCGAGTAAACGTTTGTCTTGAAAAATGTCACCTGAATTTTTTTGGTTGTTTTTTAGGCAGGATTTTGGAAGTAACATTTTTCTTCAGAGAATTTTTCCTTTCTTCTGCATTCTTAATTGGCATCTGGTGCAGTCGCTGTCTTTACACCAGATATTAGAAATTTCTTAAATTTAGTTTGACAAAGCAAAAAAAAAAAAAAAATGAGACATCAATTTCCAACATTTATTTCATCACATTCCTTCTCAAAGTCATCGGGTCTGTGTAACATCAAACAAAGTTCTTACCCGATGAACAAGATGTATGAATGTTTAACTTGGGCCCTGCAAAAATCTATTATCTTGAGACAGCAGTTTTGTTCCCAACACTGAAATTATATAGAGACACGGCAGTCAAATCGAATCGTGTGAAAATACTCATAAAAATAATACAATGAATTACATATTTGAAGGATATAAACCAACTCGACACCAGAGAGTAACGCTACAGATCTGTGCATTGAGAGTGTCCTCCACATACTGCCACTGTCATATATCGATATATGTTATAATTAACTGCACTTTATCATGACAAAGATGAAACTCCTTTTTTTCCCAACACGCTTTCAGTTTTCACATCAGAGATCTGTGATCCTTGAAGATTTCTCAGACATGCACTGGGTTTCTCTTGGGACATTCCTGGCCCACCAAATGGGTACAGAACAAAAAAACATGCAATCTATATTCTTGTTTGAAAGATGCTATTCTACAACTACATTTTGGAGCACTTGCATTGAAATGGCATTGCCGTTTCGAGTAAACAACCATAGAAATGATTTTTACTGCTTGTACTGATATAACCTACAATCCGTTCCATTCTACACTACCTCTATCAACTATAAATACTAAATAAAGACATTTTAGAATTCGGACACAAATTGGTATGACTTGCTTTTTCAAACTTATCTTCTCAACCTAAAGGATTTTAATAACTACAATCAACTAACTGACACAATTCTCTCTTTTACCTGGACAGACACCTGCTCTAACAATAACTCGTCAAAGTTAATGTCACGAATAACTAGGTAGAATAAGTGCTAGGTCGTTTTTAATATCATCAAAACACATTTAATTCTACTCTTTATCCAAAAATCCCAAACCTTTTACCATACTGCTGCATCCATACATCCTTAAAAACCCAGTAAACTCAAGAAGAAGGAACATATACGCACTCAAATACATGTATTTGTTAAAATAAACAGAATGGTGCCAACTTAAATCGACCCAAGACTTCAGTTTGGCCATTCAAAATTTCAGCATTTAATTGGTTTATTAAAGTAACTAGCTACCAGAGAGAACACTTCTGACAATACCAACATATACATGCGCCTAAGATGTGAATGCAGCAGGTCTTTTCTGCAAGCCATGATAGGACCACAATAAATACACCTGTTGAAGACCATAGATGCACCTGTTGAAGACCATAGATGCACCTGTTGAATGCCTTACAAGAAACATGATGACAGCTATTTTCTATATATCTACATTAGCTTTCAAATACTAAAATAATTGCAATTCAATCCCATTTCCAACCTTACTGACCAAAAAAAAATCGCTTCAGCAACTTTTAGAATGCCAAACAAAAAATAGATGACTAAACTTTTCAAAAACAGCTGCTTCTAAATGTTCCAGTTAATATAAGTTGGTTGCTGTACATTATTCCTATTTTATTATGCAAATTTTTCACTTTTCCAGCCCCAATGATTTCAAACATGAATGTTGTACAAACTTCTACTAACAATGACATTAATGTCAACAATAAAATCAGTCAGTGTCATCCCTAAATGATGTACATGTCTCATGCAATTCTTTACAATTCAGAGAAGTGATATAAGACATCTCCAAGTTCCATGCATAATTTTCAGCATAACTTATTTACATATGAACATGGAATTTAACACCTTCGTTAGTTTTTAAACTAGACTACGGCAGTTCAACCCATACGGTTGCATTAGAAAATATTTCGTTCACAAAAGCTTGATGATGCCCAGTTCTCTATATGTTAAGTGTCCTGAAATTAATTTTATGTCTGTTTCTCAATTTGAACATGTTTTTCCAAGCACCATTCCAACCCATGAATATTCACTGTTACGTGTACAATGCACAATTTTAAAAGCTAGAATATTACGTTAAGATTTCAGCAAGTATATGTATTGAACTCGTCAAACCTAGGACATTTGTGTTAATCCTTTGAAATCGACCATTAGAATTCAACAAAAAGACATGATTCAGCGTGAGGCCTATTGTTGGAAAATTGTCTGGTCACAATGATATAATCACAGTCTTCATAATAAATGTATTGTTCTTAAGGAAACAGACAAAGTGTGCCAAATGCTCTTTTTGCTGATTATTTTGAGCAACATAACAGGTAAATCCTTTTCTTGTCGAGTACCAGAGATTGGGTAGTGCCTATTATTGTCTTCTTGTTTTGATTGGAACGGTGCTTCAATGTCTGAATTACTTAGAAGCCGAGAGGGTGCTCAGCCAGCAGCCCTCCCGTCTGTACCATGGCCTTGGAGATCTTGGGGATGGCGTCAAAGTTCTCCTTTGTCTGCTTGCTCTTCAGGGCCTTGAGGTTGTCCTCCACGCGTACCGAGGCCTCATTGCAGAAGAACTTGCACATGGTCTGCTCATGCTCGGCTGAGGGCACCTTGTTGCTCAGGGAACGCGAGGCTCTGAAAGAGAGATGGGAAGCATTTTTCAACAGGGTTCCAACAGAAATCTGAAAACCAAATTCAAATGTCAAAAAAAAGGATGTCAGAAACATTGGTCTGTCAAAAAGATGTATGTCAAAAACCCAGATGTCAAAAAGCCAAGTGCGACAATACCAAATCTGTCAAAAACCGATAGGCGTGTCAAAAATTGGGTATGGCAAAAACATGCAATGGGACAAGGGATGTGATGTCGACAGACGTACCTGGACAGAGTGGCAACCATGGCGTAGATGTCAATAGCTGCATCAGCCAGCCGCCACAGCTCCAGCTGTCGGTGCACCACATTCTTGCCGTGGCTGATCAGCATGTCCTCCACGGCAGCCGAGAAGTCACTGATGGCCTTGGAGGCCTGATCAGCCGAGGTCTGCAGGCCGGGGTGGCAGTGCTCGGCCAGCAAGGGACCCGAGCTGATGCCCACCATCCGCTTGGCTCGCTTGTTGGCTTCCTCCATGATCACGCCCAGGTTCATGGCCGGGTTCTTCAGGGCCTTCTGCAGCTCCTTCAGGCGTTGGCCAGCATTCTGGATTTATCCACAGGAAATCACATAAACAGGAGTCCAACCTGCACTCTACAAAATATTATCAGTGCTCTACAAAGCCGGGATATTCTGCATGCAATGAAGCAAGCCAGCTCCTATCAAGGGTCTAGTCAATAAGATATGGTATTTACAACATTTGAATTTAAAACAACTTGGTACATTTTCCAATTTAATACCATATTATTTTACTGCTGGTAAGTCTGTCAGATATGACAACAAACTTTTAACCCTCTCACACATTCTTTTTTGACAAGTGACTGGATTTTGTGAAGCAATTTGATTGCAGGAGGGTTAAGCACGGTTGGATTAGTTAAGTGTCAAGACAGGCCAAGTGTCAAGATATTACTGAAGATTTTGTAAATGTTATGACAACGGCCATTCAACGAGTGTAAGATGACAAGCTCTGCTCTCACCATGAGTCCAGTCAGCGAAATGAAGAGACGGAGGATGTCATTGGTTCCTTCAAAGATGCGGAAGATGCGGAGGTCTCTCATCACCCGCTCCAAACCAGCTTCCTGCAAGAAAATGGCCAAACCACCAAATTATTTTGTGAAACAGGTTTAATTCTTAGAACGCTAAAATTTGTTGGCATGAAACAGCTAATGCTTGGCATTTCTTCTCTTTTCATATTGTTCAAATCAGAGGACACAAAGTTCACAGTTCAAAAGACACAAAGATCACAAATCAACTGACAGGTTTTTTTACCTTCATGAAGCCCATGCCACCATAAACCTGAATGGCCTCGTCTGCAATCTGCCAAGCCGATTCCTAAAGGCATAAGAGAAAAATATATACACACTGAACAGCAGCTACGTTGATTAAATTCAATCTGAGCTACCATGATTAAATTCAATCTAAGCCAAAAAATAATGTACCGCTCAAATTGGACTCTGACCAAATTGAGAAATATAACTCAGTTAGGGATTTCAAAAGAGCAAGACCAGATTAACCATTCAACACCGGGTTACTCGATTAAGAATGGAACTCCTGACTCACCGAGGCAAAGATTTTCCCGATGGCAGCCTCGATCTGGAACTCGGTTGATCCAGCATCCATGTTGGCGCAGATCATGTAGGCAATGGATTCGTTCACGTACTGCTTGACGGCCATGCGAGCTAGCTTCTCCTGGATCGCGCCGAAGGAGTCCAGCTTCTCTCCAAACTGGGTGCGGTTGGCTGCGTGATCCACCTGCAGAAATGCCACAATATTTTAAGAAAGAGTTGTGAACGTTGGCGGGTCACATGGCAAAAAATGGTTGAAGCACAACTGAAAGGAGTTTTGAAGTGGTTGAGGACTGTCTGAGGCAAAGAATGTGACTTACAGCTTTCTTGATCAGTCCTTTCATGGTTCCAGACAAGGCAGCAGCCATGCCAAAACGACCATTGTTCAAGATCTTCATGGCAACCTTGAAGCCTTCACCAAGTTCTGCAGAAAGAAATGAGACAGTGATTAGAGAATGGTTGCTTTCCTCCCATGTTCATTCTTGAGTCTGATAAGTTCTTTCTAACAACATCAAAGTGGTACTTTGTGCGTCAATTCGACAAGCTCTACTTGCAAAAACACAGCCAGATTTGGACATGGAATTCAAACGTAGAAACATTGAAAGCGTAACGGAACTGCAATCAAGGCAGCACTAAAACCAGAATAAACATTCCGCGTACCTCCAAGCATGTTTTCCACAGGCACCTTGACATCTTCGAAGTTCACCTCAGCCGTGTTGGAGGCCTTGATGCCCATTTTCGTCTCTGGGGGACCACTGCAAATGATCATGTTGGATTGCAAAAACATCAAAACTGACTCCCTCAACGAAATGCACATTCAAAGAATTCAGGTTCAATTCACTTTAGCCGGATCTATGACAAAGATGGATGGTTATGGTCCATTCAGACAAGAGTGTTATGTACCAGAAGTGTGTCTTTACCTTGTGACACCCCCGAAGCCTCGCTCCACGATGAATGCAGTAATCTTGTCCCTTGTGATGCCCTCAGCGTTCGTTACTGGTGTCTGAGCAAACACTGTGAAGACATCCGCCAGTCCACCATTGCTGATCCTGAGGGAAGGAACATTAGACTCTTCTAATTCTGTTACTTTGAAAACCACATCATGTGACATTACAAAACTATCTTTCACTGATAAAAAACATCTGGCTATTAAAAAGCAAGTAAAAAAGTAACCACGGCCAACTTGACATCTGACATTAAAAAAAAAAGACATCCGACATTAAAATAACTATTGAAACTGGACACAACTATTTGACATTTTATGAAATGCCAATGGCAAATAACCTGGAAAAACCTTTGACATTTGAAAAGACCTCTTGACAATGAGATACAATCTTTAACACTCAACAATTCACTCATGGTTTAACCTTTGATGGGTGGCATACAACATTTGCCATGCCACTCACCACAGCTTGCTCCCGTTCATGATAAAGTGTTTCCCGTCGTCGCTCAGCACAGCTCTCGTTCGGATGGATGCTGCATCGGAGCCGCTGGATGGCTCCGTCAGGCAGAAGGCGGCCATCCTCTCTCCCTTGGCCAGTGGTGGCAGGTACTTCTTCTTCTGCTCCGGCGTGCCAAACAGTGTGATGCCCTTGAAGCCGATGGACTGGTGGGCGCCCAGAACGATCCCCACGGCCAAGTCGTATTCACCCACCACCTCAACCATTCTGGCATACTGACAAAAAGGAATAGAAAAGGTGGGTGCAAACCTGACGGCTCTTTCTCTTATGTCCAAGGGAACCAGGAAAAATTGTAAAAAGCCCCTACCTGGGTGTTGGTCAGACCCAGTCCACTCAGTTCCGTGGGTACCTGCAAGCCAAATGCACCCATCTCCCTCAGACCCTGCATGGTGTGATCTTCCACCTTCTCCAAAGCATCGTTCTTGGCCGCATCGTTCACTTCCTACAACATCCAAACCAAGGCACATTACTCGTCACTGTACACATCTCTTTGGTCATTTTATACAATGCCTGTAAAAAAGCATCTCTACTTTGACAGCAAAGGACACAGGGTCAACAATGATTGTCACTGATGATCGCAATTCCAAAACTTGACGGAGTAGTCACTAGCGAAGAGCGATGAGAAGTATGTTTTGACATTCCGTTGGAACTGTTCATCAGATGTCACAGCTGCAAAAGTGTGGCCAGTTTTGCCAAGATATGAAGTTGGTAACATGTACAAATCTTGCAATGGTGCATATAAAACTACGCTAGTAAGACCCACTTGATAATCTGGGAATGAAAACCTGGTGATATTAACATACCTGGAAGAATTTGTGAGTTGGTTCCACAAACATCGCTGTCTCATCGGCCATTTCCGGAGTCAACACTAAAGAAAGGTAACAATTGTTTTCTCTGTGTTCAAATCAATTACATCCAAATGATTTCCTACTGAATTTACATGTAATTTCAACCCAGTTCATAAGTGACTTCGTCACAAAGGCAGATGTGCCACGATTTGCAAGCTCCCACTGGACAATCACTGAAGTTGCGCGCTAACTTACGGTTCCATGCAAACGGTGATCAGTGCATGTAACCCTATGTGCTCTGCATGTGCAGTGGGCATGGTTTCAACTCAAGCGACGTCACACTTACGAACCGGACAGTGTGCACATGTTTGGAACATTAAAAGATATTCAGATATATGCGCATTTGTCAATATAAAAAAAAACAGCCGAACTTAATTGATTGTCTATAAAACTAGTTCACAGCCAGAAGTTTACATTGGTGAAACACACTGCTGATTATTATCGTAGTAGTTTTCTTTTACTGAGGCAAACAGCCTTTTTATTTGCTTGGTAGATAACTGTACAAATCACTGCATGGAGAGAGTCACCACAGAGACTTGCTACAAAGACTTCAACCTCAATCAAAAAGGCTAGCCAAGGTACGATTTGATTTTGGTGTGCATTCAATTTGCATATTCATTATGTTTTACTTCGATACGTGCAAAACTAAACACGCCTTCTTGGTGCTATTTCTCCAGTGAAAAAGGACTTCATTATTCTCAAATGTACATGGGACTAGGAACATGTACATGTAATTAAGTACTGCACATTTTGTGCATGTATTCAAGTACAATGAGCAGATATCAACCTGAAATGATAACCCTGGCAGTACAGCCTGGCAAAGTCCAGCATTTACACAAAGCATCATTCCACCAGGTGCGCAATGACTCATCACCTGCGACGTGATGACAACCACCTCTACAAGTTCACCTAGATATCTGGTGAATCAATGGCTTGAGTTACATGCATATACTGACCAAGGTTATGGGCCATCCAAATTCAGCGGATACGGCTAGGGGAAACAGATGTAGCTATGGTAGCTACCAGCCAGCGGCTTGGTACATTTCCCACAGACTCGCATGTTATTTCCAGCCGTAGGCATTTAAGTGGGATGCAAGCTTACCTTCAGGGAAAGGGAACACTTCCTGCAGGTTGATCTCGCCTTTAAACAAACCCATTCCAAAGGACTGCGTCTCCTGTATCCAAAAACAGAACACCGTTGGCGGAATGGGCAAGCATTCTTAATGACTAAAGATGCTGCAATGGCATTCTTTCCAAAATATGAAACAATTATAGGCAAATGTATGCATCTTTTCAAACCAGAGTTTGTTATGCAACTTCACAAGTTGCAAGAACAAAACACATAATTCGAATTGCCAAATTCTAATTTTTGTTTGTGTGTTTGTTTGTTTGTTTGTTTTTTTAAGAATTCTATAAAGACACCACTGATTTTCCCCTCCGGTGACCTATTTGCAATCTGAATGCAATAAAATGTTCTATAAAGTCAAATTTAACAATGACGTATTCACTTAGCAAATATTTTTGTTAGAATTTTTCTGATCGATCTAATAGGGGTTTGTGCACAGGGTGTCAAGCAGCATCGCCTATGGAATTCTTCCCTCTTTTATTGTCTCTTTAATTTTGTACGCTGAGATAAGGTTGTTGCAAACTGAGCCCAGAGACTGGGGTAAGGGTAAATCAGAAACTGGGACTGACTCTCGCTTTGGACGGAGTCTGCTCCGACGATGCATCATGCTTCTTGGGTTCTGCCATGCTGGCCTTATATCGCTTCTGCACACTCCATGGTATAGCACTCGGCCTGCAAAACAAAAGAATGAATTTCCAGGTCGCATCTGCTAAACAAGAGGCAGGGAATTTATTGTGGTGGGCTGGGTTGGCAAGTGCATGCAACGGAAATACAGAGTGCCTGCAAAATTGCATAAAAATCTTTGATGTACGAATGAGTGTTCACTTCTAGATACACATGCAGGTACGTACATGTACCCAAGATATGAAGGAACTGCACAATAAGTTCCATAATTCCATTTTTTTTAAATGAAAATATCAACTTAAATAAAAAAGTGCTAAACAGAATGCAAACCATCCAGAGTACAACTACGTGTAGCAAACATTAATTTTGTTTATGGTTGGCTGGAATAATACTGAGAGCGCAAACCTGATTTTTCCCGATTTTCTTTAGTTACCCGGCTTTTCCTTTTACTTACACAACTAACAAAATTTGTCAAATACTGCAATACTCGGTGCTGCTAAATATCTTGCAGGAAACAAGCGTTTCTGTCCCCATCATTCTCCAACAAGACCGAGCATGCTACAGATATTGGTATTAGTAGGCACTTGTGAAAGACATTTGAGCGGCCTCCATAAAGCTCCACCAGGTAGGCCTAAAGATGTGAGAAAAAAAAATTCGCTACGGCAGGAGGACTTTATACCCGGATGTTAGTTGCACTGCAATGTAGATGACGTCCACTGGGCTAAGCCTTAAGGCCTTACTTACATCATCTGAAAATCAAAATGTTTGAAATTAAAAATGGGGTTTGAGAATGCAGCTCGCCATGCTCAGATGCTCGCGGCAGGTTTATGGCAGTAGGCATATGCAAATTATCTATCGATAATTATATGAGACATGTGAAACACTCTCCACTACAAACATCCTTGGATATTTTTCATAACGTACTTTGACAGGATTAGGAATAGGAGGCAAACTGTGAGTGGAGCGACTATATTGGGGAATGGGGGCGAATATACAAGGGCTTTGGAACACAAATGCCGTGGGGCGAGTCGACCATAGCCGCCGATGATTACGTCTCTGGATTACAACAATGTCCTTCTATTTTACATGTACTTTTAAAACAACAAAGACAAGTAACTCTACCTTACTACCGTGGATCGTAAACTTCCACTTATGCTTTCACGCAGTACTGGAAGTAATCTGGCCGATCGCATCATATTGAAAGGTAAAATGGTCAGTTCTAAGACCGAGTCTCAAGAAAGTTTCTCAACGCTGTCGGCCGGTAAAGCCGTGTGTGTTGTTTATTATTATTCATGTCTCGTCACGTGCCATTCAACTATGACGTAATTACTCTTACATAAAATGACATTATTTATACGTTTCATTATAAAGTTATTGATGCTTTTTTTTAAATTCAAAAGAAAAACGTGATACGTATACATTTAATTATTTGATCGCTACCGTTGCCACGAAAATGGTTTTGGAAAAATTATTTCCAATGACAAAATTTTCTTAATTGGCTGTATATAATCACGCGTATTCTCGTTATATAGCGCGTGAATTAAATGCGGAAGTGTGGCGGTAGTTGCGAAGACATTTAATTCCGGAAGTATGGTCGCAGCACGAGAGTGATCTGTCAGTGTCATGTCGTTTCGGAATCTGTGGCTTGGAATTCGGAAAATTTCCTAGAGATTTCCCGTGTTTGAGTAATCAGGTAGGCTGCCAAAGTTTCTGTGATTTCTTGTAACTTGCGCTGTTAAAACAACCATGTATGCATGCACGGTCATGGTATTGGTAAGATTCAACGTGGACAAGAAATGTTCAGCCATCGTGATGAGGCTTGAGCCGAGTCCTTGGGCATTTTCGAAACAGATGGATTTGGCTTCGATTTTGCTTTCGCTGGTTCCAGCCATTTTGAAGCAACTTTCGAAACCAAGTCTAAGCTGAATCTACTCATTTCAGAACGTCCCAGACATGCCAGATGTACACGTAAGCCTCAGACCTCATTTTCTGTTTTTTTATGTGTGGACATGTAGTTTGCTTGTTAATCAATAGACACTGCAAGGCACAGTCCTGCAGTGCACCAACTACATGTTCACCCGTACTGTATGTGTGTACATGTATGTACATTGAAATTAGACATCTGTGGGTTGTTTTCCATATTGAAAGATGGTAATTCAGTTGCAGTATCGCCAGAGTTGCATCCAAAATGGCGTTTCTTTTTGTTGAAGTGAAGTCTTTTATTTGCAAGTGATTCGTTGGCTTCCTGAATGTCTTGAGACTTTACTGCAAGCTACATGTACGTGCAATGCATGCCCTATTTGTGAATCCCTTTTTATGTTCCCCACATGTAGGGAAATGACATTTTGCGGGCTGCTTGCAGTTTGCAAAAGTCACTTTGTGGGAGTGTGGCACAAACCACATGTTACCAATGTTTTTTTATTGACTGGTTGCGTTGGACTCTCTGCCTAGTCAGCTACTTGTTCATATAGCAGACTGTGGGGGGGGTAGGGATACTAGATCGTTTCTCACACCTCAAGTGGCTGTCTTCCATCTTTGCCTTCTGAATGAACTTCGTCCCTCTCTGCCGTTGGAGTTTTTCCTAATGACCAGATTCTTGCTCATAGAGCAGACAATCTTGGCTAGGGACATTATCGGTAGGCATTTTCTTAAACCCGAGTGGTTTTCTTCGGTCTTTGGCTTCTGACATGAACTTCATACTTCTCTGCCGTTGGAGATTTTGGCTCAGTACAGTTTAAGTGTTCGACTCAAGAATGTCATTTGATTATTCCTGTAAAGTGTCTAACATATAGTCACCAAAAATTTAGCTATTCGTCCTACGTTTGGAAAAAAAATGGCTGTTTGTTTTGTTTGACCGTTCAGATACACCAGTACCACGCACTAACCATGTCAATCCCAGCTCCTGGTGCCCCGCTCGCATATCCCTGGTACCACGGCAGCATCACCCGGCTACAGACAGAGGAGTGTCTGATGCGAGCCAATAGGACGGGGTCCTTCCTGGTCCGAGACAGCGAGTCCTTCAAAGGAGCCTACGTCCTGTCTGTCTTGTAAGTTGAAACTTTGAGCGGCAGGATTCTTGTAGTTGAGAAAATGTGACAGCTGGGTCATTTCAAACCAACTCAACCAACTGTACGCATGTAAATTTCAGAGTCGATGTGACGGACTCTCTCAGAGATGAATTAAATTGAAATGTTTACATGTAAGTGTCTTTACAGCTTCTTAACAGCGCAAATTTGAGCTCCTAATTTCTAGTCATTTCCTACATGCAGTCCTTACTTCTGTCTTCTGGTTTATTTAAAGCGTCACCAACTCTCTGTGTGGAATATCATATTGATATTCAGAATGATTGCACATAGATCATTCCATGAAATTGGATAGCAAAGTGTTACAGAGTCCAAGTTCACTTGTGTCATTTTTCCCCAAGTTTTGACAGATCATTAACGGTGTTTCTCATAACTAGTAATACTTTTGTAATAACTTATGCAGACAAGGGATTATGCAACATGCAGCGGGTTGTGGATGTAACACAGAAACCCCATAGAGTTTCAGCATGCAACGATAATTTCTCCAAGTTACAATATATGTTATGAAGATTCTTTTGTTACAATGTATGTTCTAAATATTGGCAAGTATCCCAACAAAAATAAAGAAGGGAGTAAACCACAAGAATAAATGTCAGGATAGGTACATGTACTCATTTTGGGAGAATTTTCCAGATCAGGTACCATGTGGTCAGGTTGAGCGTTTTCCCGTATTCGGTTGGCATGGTCAGGTTCAAAGGAAATGCAATCTTTGTGGCAACATACGGCCGCATTGATGGAAATATTTGTGTCAATCTTTACTACATTGTCCATGATTATATTCAAAATACACTGAAAATATCATGTCAGATTTCACAGAAAACAGTACAAAAAATTTGGCACCGTTATTTAAGATTTCCTCGCCGGAATGTTGCCAAAACCCTGTCCCTGCGCAGGGCGCAAATGGGGAAAACCACAGCCTGCCGGCCTGCACACACCACGTTTTGTTCGCTAGCATGGTTCTGCGCAAATGTGGAATTGCTCTACCGTTAATCCTTGAGGGATATGTAAAACTAGACGTATTAGCAACGAGACTGTACCATTTTGGACCTGTGGGGGCATGTACCATATTTTCTTTTTTTATGTATAGATAATAATAATATCACAGAAGTATGCAAACTGGAGTGATTGCTTAACTATAGATGGTCGACATTTCAGTTTGAAAATGTGTTCAACACCTGTTAATGTATGAGTTGAAGGTATGGCTCCTCCCAGGGGATTGTGGTACCCCCCTATTATTACATAATGGTAACAGTCATTGCAATGACAAGATATGGGTGTAACTTGGAAAACGTCCAAGTTTTTCCAATCAGTTGTAAATTGTAAATAATCAAAATTTACCGAGCATGAGCACACTACACCTGTTGTAAATTTTAAGGATTCATTCTTTCTATGATGAAGTCAATCATACTGGTCTCTAATGGATGAATTCACTTCTGACAAACTTAGAGTGTCGTAACTGCGTCATAAACGTAACGTATGGAAACTCCATGTTTGGCAAGCGGGAAAAAGCATGCCTGATAACGACAAAAACATGTTTTGTTTTCTGAATTGTAAGAAACAGCTGTTGAAGAATGGAAGAATCCATTTCCAAGGAGGGGACATACACTTCCGTGTTACGGAACACCAAGGGTAGTGGATACAATTAACAGAATGGCCGTGGAAACCACTCTCGGCATTCTGGCAAGAACAAATTATTTCTTTTGAACTGAAATACAGCAGTGAATGCCAAGTCGAGAAAAAGTTCATCTTGGTTGTAGTTTTCAAACTGTGATGATGTAGTTAGCAATCATTTTTCCTGGTCCAAAAAATGAACTCCTGTTTCGGACGTAATGTGACCATTTGTGTATGGAAACCACACATTACATCCATACCCTCGAACAAAAGAGGGGCTCACTTATGACGGAGGGGTCGTTAACATAAAATTACATGTATATAGTGAACTATCAAGGGTTGATATAGATGCGAACATGTAAAAAATATGACAGTGTTTACAATTACTTACAACCTACTCTCTTCGTAATAAATGCTCATTTATTTTGTCACAAAAACCCTGGTTTTACATAACCGGAAACCACTTTTTCATGCTTTATGGTGCATAAAATGTTTCCACAAACATGAACAAAATGGTTCAACAATATACCTCTCTATGTGTTCTTTTTTATGATGTAAATCAAACCGGCAAGTTATTTGAGAATTAAGCACTGTGATTTACTCCCAAGGTCTTCAGACCATAGGCAAATAACCAGGTGTTGCCCAACTTCATGGAATGACCCACATGTACATGTACATGTATGTATCTGTAATCCATAGAAACTGCCCATTTTTACTGAAACCTCCATGTACATTTACGTGTACATGTACATATGTAGGCCTACTGCACGTATGTTGCATCAAAAGTCTTCGCTCAGTTTCCCTTTCAAGGCACGAGGAGATGTATGATTTGATTGATTTTCTTCTTTTTTGAGCTCACATATTGTTGAATTCTACTTGTGTACTGTATCATTGAGAGGATGCACCTTACGAAATGAAAAAAATGTGATATGCATTGTCATGGAGGTACCGTTGATTCAGTCAGGAAAAATACAATGGGGGAAAGTGCAGCACTATGTGCATTCTGACATTTCAACCAGTTCGGTTTGGCCCAAAGGTTTATACTTGTTGGTTTAATCCTGCAAGGTAAAGACATGCAAATTGAAAATAAATTCAGGGTAAGAGGAGTTTTTATGAAGCTGCATATTCTTTATCATTTATTGATCTGTTGGAACTGTAGTTTTATTGGTTAAAAGAGAGAGAGAATTGATTTTTTTTTCTTTTTTTTTCCCTATTGATTTCCTGTTTTCCTGAAAACTTCACCAACTGAAGTTTCTGGGGGAAAAGGCTTGAAAAGTAGTTTCGTTTTAAAAGGAAACAGATTTTTTCAACCCCTTTTTTCAAGAGAATCATGCCACACCTGTCATTGTGTAGACACAAGTTCCTATTGTTTTTTCAATAATAAAGACATGTATTAAATCTCATGAAACTGTCAAAAGGATATTTGTACCTTTTGCCATTGCCCAAAGCCAAGCATTCCAGTACTGTACATGTATGTACATAAAGGATTTATACTATTATGCATGTTTAGTCAGTGTGCTGGTGAAAATCATGCAAGCAGAACAAGCCAAGGGAGTAACCATCATGACCATGTACACGTACAGTACATGTACACGTACTTGTAGTGTACATGTACATGTATTCATTTCCTTGTTCGAGATGTCCTATTTTTATACTGACAAAACTCGTGTATTGTTGATACCCATGAAGTGTAATAATATTTCTTCTCTGATAACAAGTGACCTACATTTTGTGAAAGCTGTACCTTTGCGGCTCGAGCTTCCTTGATCTTCCAACCTTGAGCCTCATTAAAAAATCTGTGTCTTACAGATCTTTTGGTTGTACATGTACATGTTTTATTCTTTCTTCAGATGTTATTCAGAGAAAAGGTGTGTGTTGCTAAATACATGAACTAGTATTGTGCAGGGATTTCTTTTGGAAGTCCCTGGAGCCTGTGGGCAGTTAAAAAACTTTGTTAGGTTACCTGCCAGTGAAATTAGTTTAACGGACGGTGCACTGGTTGTGATGTGTTTGCCTAAATTTCCTGAATTGTAACTCGTGCCAGAATTGTCATTTCACTAATATAAAGCAAAGCAAAAAACCTTCCAAAAGCAAAACTCTAAAATTTTCAGGGTTTTTAGAGGAAAGCATGGATGGCACGAACAAGACCAGATCATGCGGGAAAAGTTCAAACGTCAGAATTCAGTATCACGGTGTATGGTCTGCCGTGAGAAAAATGTTCAGCTTGGGTAAACGTCTTTAACAGCTGCATACAGCTCGCATATCTTCAGCAAAATGACTTTTCCAGCGCAACTTCATGTACATGTCATCAAAGTAGGCAGGTTCTGCAAAGAGACCTGTCTTGGCGTGCGTGTTTTAGGCCATTAGCAAATACATGTACTGTACATGTAGTTTGGCCAGCGTTCTTAAAGTACTTGATGAACAAAGAGTGAACATTCCTGCATTACGAATCATTCCACATAAATTGTCTGTGCTGTCGTCCTTTGAGTAAAAAGCCTGTTAAATTTACGCAAATTTTATGTCTCTCTGTATCCTGCCATGCATGCATGTACATTGTACCCTCCCAGTGGAATATGCATGTACATGGTGGTTTCTGATAAACTCCGATATAAACATTGTTTTCACGTTGCATTGCAGGTGCGAGGGTCGTATCTACCAGTATCGTATATTACCCGATGGGAATGGGTATCTCATTAAGGTGAGGTCAGAGGTCAAAACCCTCACATGTCTGTCTCATCCGTGAATTCTTGTTCCCATGCGGTGCATCATCACCAGTCATTGAAATCCCACAGGTACATGTATATCCTACCCTTTGACCAGAAAAATTGTCAAGGAATTGACTCTACACTCGCACTACAAAATCTGACTCTACTTGCAGTCCCAAAAAAGTACTGTTCAATTTGACAGGCACAACCATTATAAAAAACATATACTTTTTGGCCAAAAAGAAAGGAAAACCTGTGAATTTTTGCAATAACATAAAATGTTCTTGCTCGAGGTATTCATTGCATGTTTTGTTTGAAGAGTTAATTTTTTTTCCAAAGTGCAAGAGCTAAGTACCACTTTTGTACCTGATACAATTCCAACCTCTCCTGTCAGTTCCAAAGAAACCTTTGAAAAGGTTTATACACCTTAGTTAAATATTAAATACATGTAGATCAGTTTAGTGAAAAATGAAGTTTAGGGTTATCCTTTATCCTTTTTTAAAAACTATTTTGTAATTATGGGAAAATGGGTACTGGTGTCTTTGAAATAACTCCCTCATTTATGTATGTACCGCTTTGTACCACTTTTGTGATGGCATTTCCTTGTGGGCAGTATGGTTTTGCTGACTTTTTTAAAGAAATTTTTTCCTGTTTCCTGCATTCCAGGCTTGTTTCCCGGTCTGCATTAGGTCACTGTTGTGTTGAACTGAATAAATGTGTGTGCCAATAGGCTCCGGCCTGTGAAAGTTGGTTGAATTTTGCTGCCACATCCTGCTTTCTGTTTTGGTTCGGATAAAAATCTGATATTGTGATTGTTCTGAATGGAGGCTGGCCAATCTTCTGTTTGTATTACTCGGACCTCCCTCGGAATGTGACAATCGAATCGATGAATTGAATTGGAAACAGACCTGGGAAGAAAAAGATGACTGTTTCAATTAAAGGGACGGAAACAGTTCGTGAAAAAAAAGGTCATTTTGCTGATTTTTGAAGAATTCCTGATAACTCTTATGTTAAAGGACTCGTTGAGGGTTTTTTTTTTTTCTGACTTCAACCTTTCCTTCAAGGTTACTGTAGAATTGCCTAGAATCTTTGAATGAGGAGTTTGATGCAATTTGGTTCAAAACGATTTTCTCAGGTTTAGAAACCTAATGCAGTACATTTGAAAGCGGGAACCTGCTGGATGCAACAAAATGCAAGGAAAGCATGACGTGAACAGTGTGTTGTAACTGGACACACAGTTGAAACCCTGGTTCGGGCAGCTATGTTGAACTGTGCCCTGTACTCTGCCAGTTGTATTGACTGCTACGTGCAAATGCAACAAAATGTAGCAGCTTTTTTTCTGCTTGTGTTGCAGTACATTGAGGGTTTAGAAGTCCTTTTTTAACCTTTGTTATAAAAGATAAGGAAGGGAAGTTGACAGAAACGAAATTCAGTTTTCACTGCTTCTACATCAGGACCCAAACTGATCACTGAGAGCTGTCAGGTAGTGAGATGATTTATACTCGATGAGATACTTTGAGAGTGAAAGCTTAGATTTGAGTCGTGTCGGAAATGAAATCTTTTTCCATCCATGTTATTTTGCACCATCCCCCCTTCTTGAAGTCGTCAGATGCCACTAAACAGCATACGTTCAGTAACGTGCCAGAGCTCATTCAGAGCTACAGCATCACCAACAATGGTCTGTGCTGCCCACTACGCTACCCCACCGAGGCACCAAAAGTTGAAACGGAAGAGGAGCAAGACTCGGGTATGGATGGGTTGAACCCAACACAGGCTCCATGTCCCAAGTCAGTTGGCTGTGGCTGGAGAAATACCTGAAGCCACTGTCTTGTGGCTTCCATAGGCATGCATGTTTTCTCCAGCCACAGCCAGATAAATTGGACATAGCCTGAAGATGAAAAATCTTTAAAATTGGGCCATTTTTCAAGCCTTGATTATGTCCCTATTAGGGGCCATGCCCTCCCTCACACTCTCCCCCCACCCCCCCCCAAAAAAAGGGAGCCAAAATGTGTTGCTTTGTAAATGATTAAAGGCAATTTTGTTGTTTATTCCAAAAGCATGTAAGCAGCCCCCAGAATGTTGCCTCAACCCCCAGAAAGGCCACAAAAGGTAACAGGAAAAGTTCTGCATTGTTTGGCCCCCTCCTCAAAATAAGTCTGGCCCCTCAAAAAAATGTGGTTTTGGATGCAACTTTTTACCTAGCCCCAATTCACATGGGGGCATCAGGACCCTTTGTTGTATAATCATGGCTGACATAAATGCCATAGGACTAGTAAAACATATAAGCTCTAAGAGTCTGTAATTTCACCCTCTGCATTTGGCTTAAAGGTCTGATTCAAAAAGTTGTTTTTTACAAACTACTCTCTTGCGAAAATTGTTTCGGTGAAGATGACGAGCCCACAGAGGAGGAAGAATCGGACTCGTTCTCGATGGCCTCGCCTACTGACATTGCCCTGCACACGCTGCGGTCCCGCCTGGAGTATCTGGACCAGACGGCCCTGGACGGCCAGTTCTTGGAGAAGCTGCGGGATTACATGAGCTCCAAGGCTAAGCAGGACTACGAGGATGTCAAGGCGGGGGCCACCACAGCCGGTCACCTGCGACAGCTGGTCCTGTCTTCAGCAAGGGAACTGACAAAGTAGGCGTTTTGGGATATTAGGTGGGGAATAAGTGTAGAAATGACCAGGATGGTGTCATTGATGAGAATGACAGTGACAGCATGTCATAGGGAATGAACAAGATTGCATTGTTAACAGGTTGACCGTAACAGTTTTGGTGACAGTGGCATCCATCGTTGAAAGCCATGAAAAGATGGTCATGCTGTTCAGGCAGTTCATTTGAATTTCATTTCAGGTTAGCCACTGAAAGAAAACCCTTGATCCATTCCCACCCGACAAGTTGAAACGATCACCCTCCTTTGCTTCCAACATAAAAACCCACCTGCCTAGCGGCCCCCCAAACTTCGTTGCTAAGGAGATTTCCCAATCAGTGCTTCATTTCCCGAAGCAATTTCCCCTTCAGGTTCGGTTCCCAAGTTGTTCCCCTGTCACCTCCCTTTAGGTTCCTGTTGCCCTTGGCCTTGCCTCTTACCCCCAAAGGAATGCGCAGCAGGATGGGCAGTAATTAGCGTGTTGGTTCTTCAATGCTGATTTTATTTTTGGCCGTCAGTGAAAAGCAAAAAGGACAGATACACTTTTAAGCCAGGGCAGTATACCAGTAGCCGGAGCATTTTTTGCATGCCGATAAAACAACTTTGTACGTGTAACGTAAAAAACATTTTGTAAAATGTAATTACTGTCCCCTTATATCTGTCACATTTCACATTAATTTTTGGCAGTGTATTCTAGATTCCCAAAGCCCCAACCCTTTGCATGGGATTTATGCCCCCAAACTTATGTATGAGGCATGTTTCATTTGGTTCTCTTCCCAGGGACATAAACAAAATGACAAAAGTTTGTCCATCTCCTCCATTTATTACCCTGTAGAATGTCTGTCTTCTATTAAGATCAAACCATTTCAAATTGAACAACACCTTTGAAAGTTGTCAAGTTATCTGATACTTTTTCCCGACAAGTGCCTGGATCTCATTTGCTCCTGATTATCCATGTCAGTTTTCTGTCTTTTTTGTCACATCTGCAGGCAACTGGATTTGTTCTTAGCCAAAATGAAAGCATTACAGCAACTCTTTGAACTGTCATCAGTCCCAAGCAAGACAAGCTCAGCCAACGAGGTAAAACAAATTTGCCTTTTAATATCCACAACATTCTGGTGAAAAAAAATTACATCTACATTGTAAGTTTAATTTATCTAAGTAATTTTGTTACCAGCTTTTGAAATGCTTATCCTGTGTTGTCAGTGGCTTTAATGGAAGCTTTAATATAAAAATTCTTGAATTGAAGAGGTATTTCAGCTATCCGGCTCTAGATAATGCCAAGAAATCACTTCCTCATGGGACAGAGAAAGCTTGAATAAGTGGTAACACTGGTTGATCGTGGTACTGGATGTGCAGTGTGTCCTGACTGTATACATGGAATCTTCTTGACATGCACTCCAACTCGATTTCTACCATGCCTTGAAAACAACTTGCCCAAAAAGTTCACTGCCGTTTGGCCGCAGCCCTAATAGAAGCTCTGATGCAATTGGCCGGTTCGTCCAGTTAACCCCTCAGTTGCGCTTTTGCTGCATGCGTGAAAGCCAGCAAGTCAAAACGTTGAGGTTGAAATTGTACTGTAAGCTTCGCTTGCCACATCTGATTCACCTCACACTGCATGTGACGTGATACTTTGGGTTTTTGTTTTTTTTTCATAGCATGCCGGACCTACAATGTCACAGAGGTCACTCTGGTCATTTGGTCATTTTTGTAGTTGTAGCCACTCCGGCCAGCTGCACCTCAACATATTTTGTTTTTCTGATGAATGTGACTTCGTCACCAGTAGTGAAATAATTAGTATCATATTCAGCATGACTTCTATAAGTAGATAATCTCTCCTTCAGGCTGTGTGTGGGTAGATTTTCTGTATCCTTGGCTGTGCGTTGTGATTATTTCCACTTAAGCTGCTACACAAATTGAAAGAGTGGTCTCAAAAGCTTGATTAATTTGGCCAAACTGAAGTTACAGCGGACATAAACAAGACTCAACACTAACTCGGTGCAGACCTACTCTGAATTCCTGAATGAAGTTGTGCCTTTTCACCTGCCCGATACTAAAAAAAAAATTAAAAGAGCAACTGCATCATTGTGGAGATGGAGATCTAATCCTACTCAAGACAGTAGAGAGTCTCTTAAACTGTGTACGGAGATACTACCTGCTCAGAGGCCACTTCAGATTTCTGGGCTGTCCACAAATGTTACCTACCTGTACCACCAATGGACCTTTCCCATGAAATATGCAAATTGGAGGGGTGCATGCGCGCTACTACCACTGGTTGGCAAGCGCTGCCGTCAACGCTGTCGGTAGCGTAGGCGAGCTGCTAGTAACCATAACCTGGAGCGTTGACAGTCAATCAAAAACCATATTACAGCATTTGCCCAATACTTGAGCACACTTTCCTTGAAACTAATAGAGTTTTCAGTGTCCTGAGGTTGGAAAGTAACAGTTCCTTGTCTTTAAGTTTGGCACTCATGTCAAACTATACTAGCACAGAAACAGCGATAGTGACGCTCGCATGGAGATTTGTATTGTTAAGTCAAAGATTTAAGCAACTTTGCCAACCCGTGTTAGTAATACGCATGCGCCTGCCTTATTTGCATATTTCATGGGAAAGGTCCGTTGACCAAAATGCATCTACTGCCACAGTTAACAGCAAGGGAAAAATAAAATATGTTCAGATACAGCCAAGTTCCTCCTTAAAAACATTGTAATTTTCAAAATTCCTTATTTAACGCTGACAGTGTACATGTAGCAGTCCTTGCATGGATATCCTGTACCAACGGCCATGTTCACCAAACCTCCAACCAACCTGCATGTCTTTTTGATTGTTTACTATTCTACGCCCAGGAAGTGGGAAAGACCCACCATGACACACTCGTTCCCGCTTGTAGCCAGCACTTGCCAGATTTGACCAGTTGGCCTTTTTAACAAGAATCTTAATAACACCTAGCCTTAATATCCTTGTGTTTCGTACCCTACTGAATCAAGACGGGAAATGATTTGAAACAACTCTTCAGCCGGCTAGGAGAATGCCAGGCCAGGGTTACTTCCCTTGAAAACAAGGTGAGATACCTGTGACCCTTGACTTCAGCGTTAACTCTTGACCCTTGAGTGCTGACCAGTACTTTAAAATTAACCTTTAAAATGACCCATGACATTGTTCTGACATAGAAAATGCATGTACATGTACATCTAATAAAGAGCTTTGGAGCTTAAACCTTCAAACAAAACAGAATGACAGAAGTGTCCAGTTATTTGTCCAGTTTGCTGCTTCTTTCCATTTCTAACTTTTCACTTCATCGTCGAAGTTTGGCACTACACAGCAAGCAGTGTGTGTTTTTTTCTAAAACAAAAGCTCAACGCTGCCCATTCAGCAAGTCATTCCACAAGTTACAGAAGTCATTTCGTAAATTTTGTCAAGGCTGCGAAATACTAAAGATGCACATTTTCTCAAAACGTGCATCTGCACCTACACCGCAATATCATAGTCTCGCCAATCTTTTTTCCTAAGGAGCAGTTGTCTTATGAAATGTTACCTTTATGGCCAGGAAAAAAAACAGACTTCAAGAATTTCAATGCTGCCTACAGCTGTTGAGCTTTAAAATGTCCATAGGTAGCCAAAGCTTGCAGAGATATCTTCCTTGCTTGGTGGAAGGTTTTTCTTCAAAATATACACATACATTTGCGTCATTATTTCTTAAAGAAGGGCATATGTTAATGTCATGTCTAGTTGTAGCATTTATTTGTTGATGTTTTGGTACTATCATTGCATGAGATCTTTTTAATTCTTTTATCAACAATTCATTTGCTTTTTGTGCTGATGCTTTGCCGTACTTTACTAGGCCCCGATGGGCAAAAGATTTAACTGGTGTGAAAAGACAGAGGTCTTTTCAGTTTTATACAAATTGTGAAATCTTCAAGGTAATTTGTTAAAATTCAAAACAAGGAGATGCTATTTTCCCATTATTGCTTCTTGAAGTATCGGTTGTGAAACACCTGTTTTCAATTTTGTTTTTTGTCCCATCTTCCAACTAAACCAAACCAGGCCGTGGCAACTTACCTGGAGCTCAGCAAGGGAGAGGTTCGAATCCCTGTAACCCCTGCCAAGCCACAGCAAGCTTCAACAGAGGCTCCTGAAAAGGAGCCGGAACTCCCCGAAATGGAGCCGGACCCCTTGATCGGGGGTGCTGACAACACCTACACAGGGGGCTTGACCACGAGCGATGGGATATCTGGGGGGGACACCCTCAAGGTGCACACCCTCCCCAATCTGACTATGTCGGTCACGCCCTTTGAGGTGAGTCCACTTTCCTTGTAGAATAACCAGAAAAAAAATTGTTTTACATTGATGAAATTCTTTGTTATCTAGAGTACGTGTACCTAGATTTAATGAATGAGACTCACATGGCAGAATTGAAAATTATGGATTTTTAAACACGACGTAAAGTTTATAAATTGAGTGCTGAAATTTTTCCAATGTGGTGGTGTTGCCTGGGAATGACATAACAAGGTCTTCCAAAAGTTGACACTTGTTTGGAAAAAAAGTATTTGGTTGCCTATTCATGTTGTTTAAAACAACATTTTTGCATTATTCATAAGATGTATTATTCATGAAGCGACTTTTGAATATATGTACATTGTATATCTTTGGTATTGTATGCACATCTTAATCTTCAACTTTATTTCCGCATAAAAAGTAGAGTACACTTGGAAGGTAACGTAAACAAAATATGTGGTTAGGGATCACAAAAAAGCAACGCTTGTCGAGTAGCGATCCCCATAGTCAACAGCAAAGATCGTATAGCACCGCGTAGCGGCGCAAGGTGGGGAACTTCACCGTGAATACGCGTAAAACGTTGGTATCACATGGGCGCCATTCTGGTTGGACTACGCTGCGCAGTGCCAGTTAATGTACAGGCGCAGGCGCCGCGACAGGCACGCACACACATGAACGTTCACACTCGAATGGCGCCCATGGTGATAACAACACCTTTAAGGCCGAATTACCCATCTTGCGGCGCTATATAATCTTTGGTCAACAGTAAATGATTTATGTATACTAAGGAATTAACGCACAAACGCAGAACATTAGTAAGAGCATGGGAATGACATGATTAGAACCCACCCTGCAGCTGCAACCCTGTGAAAAAGAAACACTTAATTACTTTGCAAATAACTGTCCAACATCGTATTTTTGTATTTACGCATAAAGAGCGAAAGACTAGAGATATTTTCGAGAGGAGAATCCACCGAGTTCCACAAGTGTATCATTATGCTAAAAAGTGCTGGATACTACAGTTAAGTACAATTGGTGATTTGTAGCTCCGTGTGTGGTCACAGTTTAACTCATTTGTTCTCTTAGGTCAAAGTTGAAGGTCTGACCGTGGGTGCCCTGAAGAACACTAAAGTCAAACTGACTGTTGACGTTGCCCATGGTACCCTGTCCATCCTGAAGCATTTTGGGAAAGACATGAAAGAAGAGATGACATCTTACACACATGACAAAAGTAAGTTGACCTCTGCCCCCTGTCAACCTGATTAAGTAGGCTCAAGTTAGTCTCTTTAGTTCGAGAGCTTGTCAGATAATAGTTGCAGATTCGCTCAGATTCAACTCAAACCTACAACTTCCCGTTTAACTGTGGCAGATCGACGTTTAACCTCTTAACCACCAACCACTGAGCTTACCTGGGTCAGGCTTGAATGTTCTCATAAAGCAACAGATATCCATCATCCTCTTGAACTCCAGAAATTTGAAAATTTTGATTGCGGCTGGACTTTTTCCGAAATTTGTTGGAACTGTCTCTCTCTTTTTTTTTCAGTTGTGCAGCTCATCAAATCAAGAGGCACAAACACAAAACTCCAAATCCGATTTTCCAACGGCAAGAAGAAAGAGTACAGTTTTGAGGATGCCAAGGTTTGTTGATGACATTTCTATGTAAGTTGGATATCTCTCAATGAACCGAGAAATGAAGCCATCTTCTGGAATTTGATAAACTGATGGTCTTGGTATGGTAGACATATCTGATAATAAGTGAGCACTTTATGGTTAATTCACCATTTTAAATCAGGTTTCAAGGCAAAACAAGTATTCACCATTCTTGGGAATTGTTGTTGATGTAAAAGAATCTCCAGTGTCGATTACAAAAGTTTGTCTTGGTTGTTTCATGTGGACAGAAGAGAGAGACATTTTGCCAGCTTATCCAGTACATGAAGATGAGCCATTCCTACAGCAAGGAGGTGGACCAGATCTCGGTCTTTATCGGCACGTGGAACATGGGTGTGTTTTCCCTCTTCTCCAGAGCCAGATTTTTCCCTGGAAATGCTCAACCACAAAATTGGCAATGTCCAATTAGTGGCTCTCTGGATTTAGCTTAATCTGTTTTAAATTGTTTTAAGTCATTTTTATTTTTTTTTTTCTAAGCGTTATCAGGGCCCTTAATGATAACAGGTTTTTTTTAACTGACAAGGCTACCTTTTTGAAATAAAACAGAGTTTATTGTATGGGAAATGTTAGTTTCCAGCCGTAGCCAAGTCATTTAGCTGTTGCGTTCTTTTTTACAGGTGCGGCCATGCCACCTACTAATATCACCTCCTGGCTGACGTGCCAAGGACAGGGGAAGACGCGAGACCCAAGCATGGCGGCTATGCCCCATGACATCTATGTCATTGGCACACAGGAATTCAAGAGCGCCGCCATCAACGACAAGGATTGGATCAGTCGGGTCAAGATGGAAATTGGCCAGCTGAACGGGCTGAACAAGAAGGAATACGTCACAGTAAGAGAAACAAGTCGTGGCTGGGGAGTGATGCGGTTGGTTGGCTGATGGGTTGGGTTGGGGTGGGTCGGGGTTGGGTCGGGTTGGGGTGGGTGATACAGTCAAACTTTGTGGACCCTTCTGTTTCTTCTGAAGATGAACTGAGGGGTGTATTGTTACTACCCCTGCTGGCCATGCCAGTAAAGAGTTACTTATCAGTGCATGTGGATTGTGCTTATTTTATGTAAGTGGCAAATATGAAGAGGGCTCATTAGGTCCTAGTTGTTTCCACCTGTATTGATGTGACTTGTCTGTGGCATTGCAGGCAGCCACTGCATCCCTCTGGGGCTTGAGGCTGGCCGTCCTGGTCAACAAAGACCACGAGCATCAGATCAGCCACGTCAGGGATTCTTTTGTCAGAACTGGCATCGCCAACACTCTGGGTGAGCTTGTAACACACCTGAGGCCAGACTTGCTTTGGGAGCTCATGTTGGCTTTTCACCCTGTGCATATTGTTAGGGCTTCATGTGGCAAAAGAAAAACCACACTGAACTTTTAAAGTGTAAGATGAGGGTACTCACTGTCTATTGTTATGTCTTGTTCCCATGCTCGTCCATATCAGTCCGGCATGCTTACTGACTTGCAGTACACTGAGCGATAAGGCAACAGCGCCCTCAATAGTTTACACACGGAGCCGATAGGAATTGGCATTTGCCATCACACTCCAACAAAGTGCGATTTGGTGTTTTGTTGTTTTAAATGAATATATCATTGTTTTGGGGTGTTTTTGTTTTGGTTCGTTGTTCTGTCAAGGCAACAAGGGAGCCGTGGGTGTATCTTTACTCTTCAGCGGTACTTCATTTTGTTTCATCAATGCACATCTTACCTCAGGAACTGAAAAATGCACGAGGTCAGTCTCAGTCTTCTGTCCTTCTGGTTGCCTGGTAACCAATCTGTATTCAAGCAATTTGTCTAACAGCTACGCTAGTGTATTGCACATGTACAATGTAAAGCTACAGTCTATGGCATTTCCTTTGTTTGCTTACGATAGGATGTAACAATGTTTATCTGAGCAACTTTACAAACATACATCCAGATGAAATATTCGAAACATTAATTCTGAATTTTTTGGTCTTTTTTTTTTTTTTTTGAAGTTCAAGATCTAAAGTTTTGCATCAAAGGTTTATTGGGCGTTATCAACTTCATTCATGCATTGTACTGGGCTTATTTTAATGGCCAAAAATCGGCGCTTACCGTAGCAGAAAATATTGTGCTTATGGGCAAACGTATTTCATGGGTTAGCAGGGAATTTTGGCTTGTGTGCATGCATACATCCCGTAACTAAGGATTCTGTGCTTAAAGGGTTAGCGCAGAGTTTCTCTGCTTGCGCGGTTAGCGCAGAATGGAGATTGTAAGTACAGAATTCTGCGGTAAGCAGCACCATGAAATTGGGCCCAGATGCTTTCTTCTGACACTTTTGCAGGCGTAACAATAACTACCATGACATCATCCGTGGCCTGTCACTAAGTTCCAAGGGAATGAGTCTCTTTGATCTGACCAATCAATTCCACCATATCTTTTTCCTCGGCGACCTCAACTATCGGATCGAGTGGAATGTACCGGTAAGCTTGAAACAGAGATGTCACTGAAAGTACTCGAAAGAAAAATTGACGGGCAATTACATTCCAGGTTTGTTGTCCTGAAATATGAATGATCGGCACCATGGGTTAGTTGGTTGTCTGGATGGCAGCCATCTTGGAGAGGCAAGAGCTGTCTGTATTTTGCTTCACTGAATAGAAACGGTACCTTCAAGATGGCCACAGTATTCAAAAGGTCTGTTCAGATGCAAAACTGATGCAAGTATGAAGCTTTATAACAGAACAAAAATTGTGATATGCTTCCTGGGCACTTCATTTGATTCCATATTTTGCAAATTTACAGGAGATCCTGCGAAACATCGCTTACATGAACTACGCCGACCTGTTCAAGCACGAGCAGTTGAAGCGAGAAAAAGACAAGGGCAATATCTTTGTAGATTTCAGTAAGTGCAGTGTCCTTTTTGCTGATTCTTTTAACATCTGAACTCTCCTCCCATGATTTTCTAAAAAGAAGTTTACCAGAAATTTCCTCCTAACAATGGTGGAGTTTCAGCCCCCTTTTGGGGTCCAGATTTTCACCCTTTGTCAACAAATGTTGCATAATATCTGTACTTTGTTGATAACTTGCCGCACCTTATCAACACAATTATGTATTCACAGGCTTCAAAAAGATTCACGATCCACAGAATAAAATTTCAATTTAAAGCATACTGACCAGAGAAGTGCAGATTGCATCTCAAACTCAGATTCTTGCCAACGATTGTAGTTTTGTTTCATGTTCAGGTGAGGAAGATATCTCTTTCCCTCCAACTTACCGGTACAAGCTGGGCGACCGAACGTCCTATGACTACAAGAAAATCAAGAAAACCATGGTAAGAATATTCATGATTGACCTTGGACAGCTTCATGTAACAAACCTTTCTTAGATCTTTCTGATGACTACCTTTCTTATCCAATCGCATTCCACCCCTTAAGGACATTACCACCATGCTAAGGGGCCACCACAACTCCTCTCCTAATTTAAACAGTAAAACACTGAAGATCTTATCTTTTTTTGAGATATTCCTGTAGCAGTCATGGATAACTTGATTAACAATCTGCAGTCCTCAATCTACATGTAACAGGTGCGTATCAATGAGCCATCATGGTGCGACAGGGTCATTTGGAGGTCTTACCCGGGCACCCACATCGTCAACACAACCTATGGTGAGATGGGCCCCCTTGTCGTTTGCAATTTTGGCATGGAGCATAACCAGATCCTCCGAAATTCCCAACATTTTTTGAAATGGATGGAACTATCTTTTTCTGTAAACCTTGGATTGAAGTTTTGGGTTCTATCATACTTGTTTCAGGCTGTACCACTGACATCACAACCAGCGACCACTCGCCTGTGTTTGCTACTTTTGATGTTGGAATAGCTGCTACCACAGTTATCCCTAAAGGTGAATTTGAACATCAATTTGGAAAATCAAATAATAATCATAGTCCGTCTTTGCCCAACAGAGGAGCACTGTATTCTTCCTTCCCGTTTACCTATGGACATCTTCTTCACTGGGTAAAATGTCAACCATAGACCAACACTAATCCATGATTTTGCCAATTTTAAGTAAACTTGAACTTGTTAACTCCACATATAACTTGGTTCATTGCCAACTTGGCAGGTTGCCAACCTGGCCAGGTGCCAACTTGATCAAGTGCCAACTTTAACTGCTGGCAACTTGGCTGAGTGCCAATCGGGCCAGGTGCCAACTTGGTCAGGTACCAGCTTTGTTTGATGCCAATTTGGCCTGGTTCCAGCTCGGTCCAACTGCAACCTTGTCCAAGGCCAACTGTCTGAAGTCAGACATTGTCTGAACTTTGAATGCTGGGAATTATCAGAAATGATAAAAAAAGAAATTGATTGAGTTCAACAGAACGCAAGGAACAATGTTGCAGCAAAAAATTCCTCTTTCGCAAAAACATTTTCTTGTCTCTGGTGCTCACACTGACTGGTCGGTTTTCTTTGGATTATTCTAATGTTGTTTCTTTTGACCCTTCAACCAATCATTTAGCAGAGAGTAGACAGGGTGGGCTCACGCAGGAGGGTGAGAACAATAAGCATGTGTGCATTGCATGATGGGGAATGTTCATTACATAATAGAACATATAACTGCCATTACATTTTTGAGAATATGTACTGCATGATGGTATATGCTACCAGTGCATTGTGGGAATACTTCACTGCATGCTGGGATGTATATCCTGCTTTTTGGGTTTTTTTTTTTCACAGCAAGAAAGATCGGTTGTGACTGACTTGGACAGACAGTAATATCATACACGTTTGAGTGGACTGAGATTAAAGCTATCATGTATGAATGAGCTGAAATGATTTTTAAAGCATTTGTGATTTGGTGCAACCAAGGAACTTTTTCCAGGGATTTTGCATCGCCTGTTTTTGTGTGTGTCGAAGACCGAAGCACAAGGGTTTACATCTTAAGGAAAAGTCGAATCATTATTTTTAGAAAACTTTGAGAGAATTGACTGTTTAATTTCTTAGTTTTCTCTTAAGATTTTGTGACAAAGTGTTGCTATGTGTATATCATTTTTAGGTGGTTCTGCGCAGAACGCTGAGATCGTGTTCACCTCAGCAGAAGCGATCATCACAACCAGCATGTGTGGCATGTTTTATTTGGAATTCATCTCCAGTTGTCTGGAAGGTAGCTCCATCAATTGCCTTCTTTTGACTCCAGAGCATTCCAACTTTGAACTGTTTCCTCGAATTGAAAATGTAATAGTTTAACCAGTGTTCGTGCAGTGTCATTGACTGACTTCCCCACCATTTTTTGCCACAGTTTTTAGTGAATGAAATTTCTGCAAAGATACTTTTTGCAAAGGTGATGTCCTCCTGAAGCTATCTTCAATAAAACAAACACAAATCCAATTCAAATACACAGAACACAGCGACAAGACAGAGCATCTTGTAGGTCCAGGACAGTGACTATTTCTTGTTAACGAGAGGCAGGGTCAAGGTGTAGAGAAGCTTTCCCACTCCGTGCATTAAAAGTCCCTCTGCCTCTGTCATCTGATTGGCTGTTGATATTGTCCGAGCTCATGTCTGAAGTTCCATTTCCTAACGATTTGTTGCTTCTCCAAAAAGCCGGATCTGGAAAGAGTGAGATGAACAGGACTTGCACACAAGAGCAGATGGGGTCCAAAATGGCCTGCATCAAGCCATCGTGGTCATCTGAAGAACTACCAAAGGTATAACCCCCCCCCCAAAAAGGAATTGCTGTGTAGGGCTTATCTCTCCAATAGTTATATCAACAGCAAGCACAAATTACCTGTCGTAGCCCGTGTACAAGCTCCATGCACTCAGCTCATGAGGTAAAATCGACCAGTCTTGGGCAGGTTTCTAAGCCGTTTTCCTCCATGCCAGCGCAAGAAAGGGTTCTGTTTCTGTGTTGCATTACTCGTGGGCTGTGAGTGAAGCTACTTATCGTGCATCTCTTTTCCAGTTGACGCCGATCCTGTCAGACTTTGATTATCTGGAGGAGCAGCACATTCTGATGGCCATCAAGTCCAGCGACAGTGAAGAGTCCTACGGTATGGCATACACGACTTTGCATTCCTACAAAGGATGCATGTACCAACTGTCATCTTCTGGGTGTGCTTAACCCTGAATAGCCCCTCAAATGCACTGAAATCTAAGTTGTAAAAAGCCATTGAAAAGTCATGGAAATTAGGAATATCATGCAAGTTTTTCCGTCAGGCCGCTTTTGGTGTGACAACAGACAAAAACAAGCGTGTCCGGTTTTTAAGTGTGACGTCACTTCAGTTTAACCCCTTGATGACGGGAAATTCTTCCTGAAAGCCGACTCCAAGAATTCCAGCCTCGCTTGGCCACGAAGGCCACCTGCCAAACTGCAAATTCTCGTTTTGTGGCCCAGTGTGCTTTGCACACTTTAAATTACATGGTGAAAAGGCTAATTGTTCGGTGGCATGCGGCTCTAC